GGTTGTTGAAACTTGGGAACTGGGCCTCTTTGGTCCCATGAACCTACCCCCAGTACGCCGACCGGTGTATGACCCCGGATTGAACTCCACTCCAGCGGGGATGTCGTTGTTTCAGTGTTTCAACTCCGCCGGTTGAAGGGGCCACGAGTGCTTTTCACCCCTGGCGGCCTGTTCCGTCCAACTTTTCATTATGTTCACGCTGCCGGACATGGTCTTATTTAGAAATTGAGAGCACGAAGGGAAATGGGGGAAGGCAAGGCTGGGATCGCCATTTCTCAAGGCTGTGTGTTCTGGGCATCGTTGTCTGGTCCTAAGAAATTTGTGGCAGGGTGAACACCTCGCATTGTACGTTGTTGCATGAGCACGTCGAATCACTCTAAGCTGAGCGTCTCCAAAGCTGTCGCTAGCACGGACACCGTCTCGCCGGGGGCTTTCACGTCGAGGTTGTCCACGGAACGCTCTTAGTTTCTTCTTATGCGGTACAACTCGAGTACATGTTGCTCGCCTCAAAGCCCTCGGAGGGGGGCCAGCGCTTTCCGTTGCATATGGGCACTTGAAGCTTGGCTGCTCCATCGGCTGACGATGCGGCCGAAAGAGTCGACGAGATGTCCGTCGACCTCTGGGACTCGGTGTCTCTGGCATCATGGGAAATTCTACAAAAACCAATTATGCTTGTAGAGGGCTAGAAGAAAAAGCAAAACGAGAAACATCCATGATGACCTGCTCCACTTCCGTAAGCCGACATGACGGCCATAAGGCCTGCATGGAAGATGATCAGTTGTACAATGTGCAACAGCCTGGCGATGATGCGCGTTGCTGTCCGGCCTCTACAGACCAAAGTTTTTGGCTCGCTCACGTTGATCCTCGCCAACGTCCAGAGTAGCGCTGTTGCAGGCATACACTACGACTTGCGGGCGTGATGTGTCAAGGATACGTCTGTCCAGATGGGAGGGAAGTGCCAAAGTTTTCGCGAAAGGACTGGGCAGCCGCAGAAGTGAAACGAGAAGCATTCGTTGGCAAGAGACGATCTGGGTGATCAGCCAAGTCGCTGACCGCCTCGTCTTTGCTTTTTCAACATAGGCCAACTGGACTTGCATCTCAATAGCGGACGTTGCCAGCAAATCGCGCCGAGACATTTGGGGCGACTAGTAGTTCAACCTTGTAGCCGCTCGGCGCTGTGTGATGTCGATGTGCCCGCCAAAGATTCATACATTTAGCCGCTGCTCCAAAAGCCGCGAGTCCAGCAATGTCATCCCAGGCATCTCTCGATGGCGGTTTCACTTGCAGCACCGCTGAAGAGTGCCACACCGCCTCCTACCAAGATCAGTGTGGAAGACGAGTCAGACATGATTGGCTCAGTAGTTATCGCGATACTTTCGCTGTATGGAAACGGGTAGCTGCAGTCGCAGAAGCTTGAGCAAACTAATGCTTCGCGAGCTCAAAGTCGTAAGCTTGTCCCTGGAAGTTCCCAACAGACACTGCCGCCTAAAGGCTTGGTAGCCATCGTAGCAGGGCCATAGTCGCCATCCAGCTAGATCGCCGCGATGCACCCAAACAACCAATCCTCTAACATTTGGTATGCTTCGAGGATGCCATTCGTTTAAGCGCACAGCCAGTGTGCTGATCCGTTGGGTCGAGGCGAAGCCTACCGGCTGGTTGTAGTGACCTACACCAGGTCGAACTTTGGCCCCCTACACCGGAGTCTTCCCATGCCTCTAGAGATGCCTCGCCACTTAGCAATCGCTGCGGCATTGTCGGCTGCCCCGTAGTCGCAAACCGAAGCTAATGGGCAACACGGTCGTTGAGGGCTCCTATTTGTTGGAACCTTTTCCGGGAAAGCGTCCTGGAGGTACAGGGGCAATCTAGGAGGGCAGTAGTCGGTGTCGCTACTACGGAGCCTATGGTCAACAACTGTTTAGCGGGGGCCAGGGTGATGATGTTATCAACATGTCGTCAGGTTTGCGAACGTAGCTAGCCCGGGGATACTCTCTGCTTTGTCACCGGTGGAGGCCGCCAGCACCGCCGGAACGGCGACATGATGGTTGAGTAGCTGATGGTGCTGACCATGAAGCGGCCACGGCTGGTCGCGAAGGAAATGATGGACGACGTGCTGTGTTTGGCAGCGATGTGCTTGCGGTGCAAGACCTTGAGTATAGCCCGCCAAAAGCCGTCCCTTGAGTCGTTCGAGCTCTCTGCGAGTCGGTTGACAGCTAGCGAACCGAAGTGTCTGGTAGTCCGGCTGGATGACCACGTCTTTCAGTCCAAGATTAGATGTGACGGAAGAGCGACCTGGTGTGGGCTTGAGGGAAAGGCGTAAGCCATCTTGCTGTGGCGTCTGTTGAATCGGGACGAGCTAACGCCACACGGCGGCGGCCAGAGTGGCTTGAGCCACATTTCAGGACCGAGCACCGGTTCGGTGTGTTCGGTGACGAGGCACACAGTATCAATGTTGCGTTGTAGGTGGGGGGACATGGGTTGAGGGATAAGAGGTGGTCGCTGCATTGAGCAATGCAACGTGGTTCATAACAAACGAGATGAACAGCTTTCGCCTGTCTCCAAGGGGCAACGGTAATTCCAGGAAATGTTGGATGCTCCCAAATGGGAAGATCTGCGACAATAGGAGCCGGGAGGCGGAGCCGGACGAAAAGACCACGCCTTGGACTGTTGGAACCCGGGCAGGACCATGTGGGCGACGGCTTTCGAGGTGTGCATGTCGTTGAAAGAGCCCATTTGCGAGGCGTAATTTCGTGGTGTAGGGCAACCGGGGGTCGTGGATCAAGAGGCTCTTTTCCCGCCGGTGTTGATGATGCGGACTGTGCTCCACAAGCTTAGACTTTGAGGCTATTTATGGCATCGGGATGTTGCCGCCGCCAAAATGATGGGAGAGAAGGCGGAATGTGGTGCTTCTAGAATGGAGCGGGAGTCAGCAAACCTGATTTGGCATTGTTGGATGATTGCGTTCGTGGGTCTTCCTGGGAGGACAAGACCGAATCGGGACAGACAGTTTGTTGTTTTACGACTGACAGTAGGATACCCGAGGACAGCGGGTTCGGCGGCAGAGGGATCATGCCGGCAGCAGCCTAGGTCGAGTTCGACCAAAACGGAATGAAGTAAGCGCCGTGGCATCATGCACCCCGAGGTTCCGGGAGAATTGGGCGAGGCGGACCGTGGAGTGGGTGGGAAAGGAGAAGCGAAGTGGTGGGAGGCGATAGGAGGCGATGGTAGGCGACGGTGGGAGAGGCATGGATAGGAGGTTCGGTAATGCTTTGTTATGAGCGAACCCAAGCTCAATGTCGACGGGCGCTGCATTGTTATTCTCGCCGTCGACGTCGGTTTGTTGCTTCTGGAGCTGGCTGGGTATTGCTGACGGGCGGGACACACCTTCCTCCTCGAAATGGATGTCATCACGACGCTAACCGCGTGTTCTGTGCAATGTCTCCACCAAACGGGAGTCCCAGCGGATGCTGATTTGCGAGCCCAGATTGCACAAGCAAAGGGGGTCCTAGCTTCTCTTTACTGCCGCCCAGGTTAGGAGGGCAAGAATCAGCAAGTGGTCAGCGGCGGCCAGCAGGATCCAGTAACAGGAACCAGGGGCTCGCTCTTGCACACGAGCTCACGGGCCAAGTGCCCCTGCAGGGGGTCAATGAGCTTAGTTCAGAAACGACCAACGGCCGCCCAATAATCCGCGCCGTTTCAAGGTGGCCCCCGGCTTGGACCCGCTATTTCCAGGTACGCATCGCGTCCATTGGTCAATGGCGGAAATTGCAGCCACCCGTTGACGAATCGCTCGTGCCTGTCAGATGGGCTCAATCTTGGAGCGTTGCTTCGAGCCATGCCGAATCAGTCCAAATCACTCCATGGGCTGTGCTTACCAGAATGGAGATATGGCCCGGTCCAGGTCCACTGCGCCAATGGATTATGGAACTATGAGTTCCATGGAAGGGAAGGTGGGGAGTCGATACGACCGTTAGAGGGCTGTCGTCCGATGCCTCATCTCCTCTTTTTGCAGGTTCTTCTATCGCCAGGCGGTAAAGGCCAAGGAAGCTCTCCTTTTCTCCTGCTTAGCCGGCCCCCTGTACCAACATTGCGACGTCGTCTGGGGCGCCTAGGAGGCGCGCAATCTGTGATCACGAATCGCCCTGCCGTGCTGTGCTGGTGCTATGCTATGCAGTGACTGCATTATCCTTGGATGCTGCCTGGCCAGGAACGGAAAGGCTCCATCGCGTGTGTTGCTCCGAGGCGTCCAATGCCCACTCGCGGACTGGGAGGCGTGGAGGCTGCCCAGTCCTAATGCAAGACTGCACCACACCGCACCTGCCAAAACACCCCTGCTCGTTCATTTCCAGGACATATCCTTCCTCCTCCCCGTCCCGACCTCTTCTCCTCTTCTTTCCCTTCCCTTCTTCTTTAACAACTTTGTTCAATCGTCGTCGTCCTTGCTGTGCGTTGCAGGACCGTGTGTTGTCACTCGTTCTTTACCTTGGTTACTCACCATCCTTCCAGTCATTCTCTAATATTGTCCCCCTTGGAATTCCAGCTCGCCTTCGCTCCGCTGCCGTCTTCCGTCCTATCGTTAATACCGCTCACTACCACGTATCTGCCCCCCCGAAACATCAAATCCAAAAATACCCACGACAACCAGAAACAAGTGCATTCTTTACGACTTTCCGCGACGGCCTGCAAAGAGAAGACTTAATCCCTTACGTACGTCCGTTCTGCTTCGCCCTGAACGACCCCACGAGGAGCTGCGTTGGCCGGCGAGGAAAGGGAGCTCTGGAACAGCGCCCCTTCACTCTGCGTCCACCTGCCAATGCTCCAGATTGTCTTAGCAGACGTCGCACCCTCACACAACAAACCCCTTTCGCGATGCTAACGGGCCGCCACAGTCGTCCTCTCGTTAATAATTACACCAAATACCACTCCCCGCCGGAGCGAACGACTTGTCTCCAGTCAAAAGGCACATTTGTAGTAATAATCAGGTCCTCTCACGATCGATCGCAATGCCTTCCATCCAGAACCTCATTTCCCGGAACGCCTCGGGCGTCGTCCGCCGTGACACCGATGGCGGCGACATGCTCAACCTCATGATTGTCGTTCTCGCGTTGATCTTCTTCGCCCTCCTCCTCGTCTCCACACTCTTCCTCATGCGCCGCGTGCGCAGGCAACAACGGCAAGAGATGCTCCCCACCTACCAAGAGGTCAAGGCTGGTGCCCGCAACCACCACAACCTCACCATCCAGACAAGCCAGGACGGCCGCTCAAGCGTCCTGTACATCGGCCAGGACGGACGTTCGCCGATGCTCCAGAACCCCCAGTCCGCCCCCCACTCTCCCGACAACGTTCCCGAGATCCACATCACCTTCCCCGACGAGCAGGACGAGGGTGGCCGCCGCAAGAGCGGCCGCGTGCTGGTCGTCCGTGTTGGTGACGGCGGTTCCGTCGGCCTCGAGCCCGTCCGTGACGAGCAGCTGCCGGCCTACGAGAAGGACAGCAAGTCGCAGTTTTACTCTGTCGACATGGACTCGATCGGCGGCCTGCGGGAGAAGGAACGCTTCAACTAAGCATACCAACTCCACATTTTCAAGTGTCCTACCTGCCCCGGACAACAAACCTTCCAATGTACAGATCGGCACCCGCTGTACAAATAAACCATTCAGCATTTTTCTCAACATGGCATGGCGTTCGACGACACACACTTTTATACCCTGCGCACCGATGACTTTGATCAATGCATGATCCGCAAACGGAGGATCGGCCAGTGTTCTGTGGAGTTATCGTGCATCGACATTAGGATATGGCTCTGGGCGCAACAATTACGTATATATATAACGACCACCCGGGAAGCCTGTCCCGCGGTGTGGACGAAAACAGGAATCACCGTGTGGTGAAGGCGAAATGCCGGGTTGTAGAATATTTGGTATATTCTAATTCTGTATAATTTCCTTAGTCCTAACACCAATTGACTACAGCCGGTGACCATGGCTTCCCACATAGAACGAGCCACCCCTAAGCTCCGATTCCCTCGATCTTGTCCCGCCGGATGTTACATCCCACCCGCATGGGCTCTCCGGCGGAGGTCCGGCCCCTGGTTTAATTGGCCTCCTAGCCGTTTTCTGGGGTGAGGACAAGCGGCCGTGCGGGCGGCAAGTTGTGGGTGACTTCGTTCACGACTGACAGGGCGCACAGCGTTTCTTTTACTGCGGTATTCAAAGCCCCGGCGAAGCCAATTGCTGATTCACCTCGTGCAAACACCCAAGCCAGCCGCTGTGGGCATGATCGACGGCAGAGGAAGGCCGTTGCGGCGATCGCATCGACCGCCCCGACTTATGCCCCAAAACGGACGAGGAATGCCCCCGTTGTCGGCTCTCATTGGCTCCATTGCGGGTTCCACTATAGGCCGGGTCTGGCCAGATGATCGCAGCGGCTATCGGTTGCGCGGGGGATGATGCACGTCGCTTCGTCGATCGTCGCCTCGGCCAGTCGATGCTGACGCGTGGGACAAGATGTGGGCTGCGATGGTATACCCATGGGAGCGCTTGGGCTGGACGTGATGTACACGTAGTCCCCCGATCTCGTCCATTGGGCGGCTTCTACCTGGACTCCCAACATCTGCTCTGCATGGTCTCAGATGTGATCTGGTCTACATAGTTGCGAGCTTCCTCGTCCCAGGACCTTCTTGACCCAGCTCTCACAATGGCGCCCTCTTCACATCTTTCTCCCTATGAGCAGCCCCCCAAGCCCAGCGGGCTGAAGTCGGATAAGCCTTCCTCGTTTTCCATGCCAGACCAGCTCCGCTACGGCTCGCTGGGCTGCAAGAGGAACGAGGTCGGTGCGGCTTGCATGCAGGTGGACTCGCTTCGCTGCTGACGGACGACAGAGGGTTAGGACGCCCAACACCGACCGCTGCAGCATGTTCACGGGCAACCACCCGCAAGCCTCGGGCCATCGCTTGCTCAAGAACCTCATCAAGCCGGTGGAGCCCAACTTGTCCGTCTCCCCACACGGGAGGGGCGGATACTACATTGTGTGCCTCGCTTCTCGGGGGAACACCTTCGCGCCGACGGTGACGGGACTGCTGCTGGACGAGGACAGGTTTCTCGAGACGACCTAGGTAATTTGTGCCGGGATTTGGGGGTGATGCCAAAGTGGAGCCAGAGAACAAAGGAGGCCTCTGGCAAACGCTTTTCTACAAGAGGCTGAGGAACCCCGCCGCGGCCATGGACTGTGACGACGCGGTCGTGAGGGGCGCGCTCAAGTGGTTGGAGCACCCGCCGGCTGACAAGCTGTGAGTGTTGTTTATGACATTGATTTTCCGCGCTGTCCGTCCCATGTATGGTCGCGGTCAAATGGGCAAGCCTGCGAGCCCGGCTGACCAGGTGGGAGTTTAACTTCCATCACTCAATTGGACACTTCGACTGACACAACGCGACAGACCGGCTACGAGCTTCGATACATGCAGCTCAACCGCGAAAGGTACGGCATTCACCATACGACGCCCGGGGCCGAGGTGATGGCGACGCACTACGCAAGATCTCCCGGCTCGACGACCATTTCTGGCTCGTTGTCGCGCACACCAAGGCGCTGGGCCACGGGGAATTGACTGTGGCTCTCTTCTTTACCGATCACGGCAAGTACCTCGACGACCACGGTATGATCGAGAGGTGGCCCTCGAGGGTATCGGACTCGCTCGCCTACGAGCCGATCATCGTCGGTGGCGCGGGGCTGCCGGGGCGTGGTCTATAACGAGATGGCCGAGATGATGGGTCTCGTGCCGATGGGTCGCCAGCTCGCAGGCGTTGGGAGCACTTTCCGCAATGCGGCACGTCTGCCGACGTCCTCACGGCGACGGGCAAGTTCGGGCCACGGGAGCGGTGCTGCGGCACAAGGGGCTTGCCTTCACGAATAGCGGGTTCCTGACGATCGGAGAGCCGCTGCTCGAGCAGGCACCGTACCCGTATAACATTAATTCGGCGCTACAGCACGGGACCCGGCAGTTGTGGGCAAGAGCGCAGGGTGGACATGTGTGAACAAGCTGTAGGAGCCGGCGGAGCCCGACGGCTGCGAGGGGGGGCCGGGGACCCGCACAACCAGGCCGACGCGGCCAGGTATCAGGATGTGCGGAGTAGGGGCGGAGGGTGGGGTGTTGAGGTGGATGGTCGCGAGCAGAGACTTTCTACTGTGACAAAGGGATCATCGATCCCCAGCCGCAGAGACAGAGAGCGTTGCTGAGCAGTTCCAAAAGGAGGGGCGGCGTCTTCCAGAAGGTTGCGAAGTGAGCTTTTTTTTTGGTTGGGTTTTCGGCTTCGGGTCAAACTATACTGGGACTGATGTAATGGACAAGCTTAACGTTGAAAATGGAGGTTGGCAACCTTGCCCGGGGATCCGAGTGGTCCACTTTATTTTCGGAGTTGGCCCGATGCAGATCTCCGGGCACCCGCCCGATCGCTCCCACCTTGGCGCCGGTATTCGGTCCTGCACTCATGCGACGAAACCTACGGGTGCTCGGTAGCGAGCCCACCATCCCGGAATGAGTCGATTGGATGTCATTTCGGATGACTGGCGAACCCCGCACAGCAGGTGCGGCCGCTGATGTGCGGCCTCACGACTATTTGTAAATGAATGCCGGCGTCCTGCCTCACTGGATGGCACGGCACCAGAGCGCCTCGGAGGAGTTCGAGGATCGTGCAGCGGATGTTTTAGCCGCCGCCACAATGGGCGCAGGTGGCCCTGAGCCCGCGTCGTCGTCAATTTATCCTCGACTGTATTGGCGGCAGCAGGCCATTCCGAGGGGCAAGTCATCGACCTGCATCTTTGCCCGCGTCCCCCATGGGAGCAGCGCTGAAGTCGACCCATCCCGTCCCATTTCCATAAGCGAGAAGAGATGCCCCGGAGAAAAGGGAGGGGGTGGGGACCAAACGCAAGCGACACCACCAGGCCAGCGTGCTGCATTGCTGGGATTTAACTCTATTCGACCTTTGGGCCTGTCGGAGTGTTTTCCCTCACATCTTTTCGACCTTCCCCCTTCCGGGGCCGGGAAACTCCCACGGAAGCGGTTTGGAAACGCTCCACCACCCTGCATAGAAGGTTGTTCGCTGGGTCAAAGCCAAGAGCCAAGGGGGTGGAGCAACAAGAGGGCATGAGTGATGGCCAAGGCCTTTCCCCGCCGATCAGTGTCACTCACTTGTTTTGTCTGATCCCCAATCCTCCCCCGTCTCTCCGTCTTTTCCCTCTTTTACCCCTAAAAAGGTCGAATTCTCCACCCATTCGGAGAGCTCCTGCAACACTTCTGACACGAGCGCACAACCCCTTGAACGCGCCCATCAGCGAGGGTCTTGACACGGGAAACATTGCAGTGCATGCATGGCCTACGGCACCAAGCGCCATCCTCCACCGCAAGTGAAGCGATCAAACAAAGCCGGCGTCCAACTGGGTCGTCGAGGATGGGTTTCCTGCACGATCCTGAATCGCTTAACCTTTCCTTGTCACCGGAAAATGTAACTGGATTTACCGGGCGTCCCCGTCCTTCTTTTCGAGTCTTGTTTCCTGGCCCCGTCCCACGGTCCCCAGGGGGTCGCGACCAGTAGTCCGGCGAGCGGCCTGCGGTTCGACGGCACAGGTCAAGAGAGGGCCAGACCGGGAGGCCAGCCAGGCTCTCATGTAGGTCCCAAAGGCTAAAATAGACACGAGCGACTCGGCTGTAGCTTGACACAGGCCACACAGCCTGGCGGTCCAGGGATCCGGGGTTCGACGAAGCTCGCGGACCTTGTCACGTCTCCCGCACTCGCACATCACCATCGCGTCTTGGCTTCTCCCAAGCTCCAATCCTGCTGCTCCCCGCGAGCATCCCAAACGCTGGTCCAGCCTGCGTCGAGCTCGACCCCCGTCGTCCTGCGCAGCATGCTTCAAAGTCGAGGCGCTGCCAAGGGTCTTGTTGCTCACTCTTTCTTCTTGGGATGCGGATACTTAATGTGAATTATCCCGTGTGCCTGCATTCGATTTGCCTCTTTGACGGACACAGGCTGTCATTGATTAATGGGACGAAGATAGCGTCTCCCATCTCTCCACGTTCTCTCTCTCTCTCTCTCTCCTCGTCTCTTTCTTTCTTGCGTCTCTACTCGGGTTCATCCTCTCTCTTCTTCCCATCCGCGTTGTGTAGATCACGGCCAAGACTTTTTGTTTTTTTGTGATACCACTTCCTTTCGTCATGAAGCCCTCACTCGTGCTCCTGGGCGCAGGCTCCGCCCTTGCCTTCCGGGACTCCAAGGTCATCTCGTCGAGCTCCGGCGAGATCTGCATCTCCTCACAGCTGCTTGCGGCCTCTTCGAGCAACCCCATCTGCCGCAACAAGGACGGCGCGGACCTCCTCGGCAGCGGCCGCGGAGACCAGTTCCCCTTCGCCAGCACGTCCAAGACGTCGCCGTCGCACTCGGCGTGGACGCACACGACGCCGTGCTTCAAGAACAGCACCGAGAGCCCCGAGTTCTGCATCTACCACGCCGCCAACTACGGCGGCAAGGGCATCTCCATCATCACGGACGCCGAGCGCGCCGCCCACATCACCCGCAGCTGGGGCTTCACGCGGCCCGAGGAGCTCGAGGGCGCCAACAAGCCGCTGCCCAAGTTCGAGGTCGCAAAGGTCCCCGGCAAGGACTACGGCCTGGTGGCCACGATCCCCATCCGGCGCGGCGAGGTCATCCTCCGGGAGACGGCTAGCCTTCTCATCGACTACGCGGCCTTTACGCACATCCCCGTCGATGAGATGAAGAAGATGCAGGCCCACGCCGTGGACTACCTGCCGTTCCACCACCGCAGCCAGTGGCTCAACATGTCGAGCCACGGGTACCACGGCAACCACATCTCCATGGTCGACAAGATCCTCGTCACCAACTCGTTCGACGTCGAGATGGACGACTCGAAGCGCGACGACGACTTTTACGCCGTATTTGTCAACAGTACGTTTTCCCCTCCTTGCCAAACGTGACCCACCCCACTAACACGTCCAGCCTCCCGCATGAACCATGACTGCCGGCCCAACGTCGACTACTGGTTCGACCCCCGCACCCTGACCCAGCGCACCGTCGCCCTCCGCGACATCATCCCCGGCGAGGAGCTGACGCTCTCCTACATCGACCCCATGCAGTCGCGCGAGACCCGCCGCGAGCGCCTGCACACGACCTGGGGCTTCCACTGCTCGTGCCACCACTGCATGCAGCACCGCCTCAAGACGGACGAGTCGGACCGCCGCATCGAGCAGATTGCCAACCTGCGCGACGAGTTCAACGACTACACGCCCGCCTCGCGCGCCACGCCGCAGATGGCCGAGCTGCTCATCTCGCTCTACGAGCAGGAGCAGAACTGGAGCCTGCTGAGCGAGGCCTACACCCTCGCCGCCATCGAGTTCAACGGCATCGGCGAGCCGTGGGTCGCCACAAAGTACGCGCGCCTCGCCGTCGAGGCCGGCCTCACGACGCTGTGGGAGGGCCACGGCGACGTCGTCGAGATGATGAAGCTTGCCGAGGACCCGTGGTCGCACTGGAGCTGGATGCTGAGGACCCGAAAGCGGTACAGCTGGGGTCCGGGGGCCAGGCCCAACTACTATGACGAGGAGGGCGAGGAGTAATACAATGAAACAAAAAAACCGGGGTTCGGGTTTGGGGTTTGGCGCGTTACAAAACAACACATTCGCTGTAGATGGGACAATTTGTCCGGTGTGCTATATCAATCTGGCGGGATTTACGGCGTTACGGCACAAGCGGCGTTGGGGATGGGGGACTCGTGATCTGCGTCCACATGGATGAGATGAAATGACGATGCCATCAGATCACCCACGGCGAGGGTGCCGCTGCACGCCGTTCACATGCCGCGGGACAAGACGTGAACGGCCCCGAGCTCCGACTGGCCAGCCTTAGCTATGGCCTCGCTAACATGTTCGTAGCCTCGCTTGCGCAGTGAGACGGTGTGAAGCACGGGGCAATCGATGGCCGCGGCATTTGTAGCAGAACCATCTCATCTTGAATCATGCCTCGCACCGCTGGGAAGGCCGCGGGAATCCCTCACCAAATTCATAGACCATGCGTGTCTGAATCGTGTTCCGCACATTCGACATATTTACCTAAAATGAAGCTAAAATACGCCGGCTGTGATGTGATATTTGCCACACACCTCCTTCGAGCGGCCTTGCTTTCCATCTCTAGTTGGCCGCTGATGCCGTCCCTCCAATATGCATGACGCCGTGAAACGATTCCAGAACCCGGGTATCATGAACCAAGTGTAATGAGAGGGGGTGTCAAAAAATCCGACGACGCCAAAGAGTAACTCCGGAAAAGAAGAAGACGAAGTAAAATAAAAGGAAAAGAAAAAGCCCCTCCGTATGTGCCCAAACCCAAGATCATCCTCAAAATGTAAGAGATGGGAGCAGGGGCGCTTTACCATCCGTATGCCACGCCGCGGTCTTGACGCGAGGCTCGAGCTTTAACCCGTCGTACCGAGCCGCCACCTCGGTCCACGCCTCGACCGTTCGCTCCCACGGCTTAAAGTCGAACGTGCTGGTCCAGGTGAGCGTTGCCTTCGCCGGCTTTCCGTTGTCCTCCTTGACCCTGTACTCGAGCTCGTGCTTGCCCGCCCACATGAGAGGCCGCTGCTTGATAGTCAGGTGTCTCAGCCGGGGCATCGTGTACGCCATCCGGGCGGCGGCGAGCGAGACGTTCTGGCGGAAATCGACGAGCTCGGACGACTCGTTGATGTTGTCGCCCTGCTTGTGCCACTCCGTGTTGTACCAGATGGAGCCGTACGAGATGTGCAGCGTCTCGAGGTGCCAGAACTCGGGATAGTAGGGGCGGTGGGCCAGGAAGGGCTCCGTGTCGTCCATGCCCAGGGGCCAGTAGGGGCGGAGGAACTCGCGTATGCGCACGACGTTGGTGATGTTCAAGTGCCTGAGGTGCTGGGCGGCGGAGCGGAGCTTGTCACAGAGCTTGGCGCCGCTGTCTCCTTCGGCCAGGGCCTCGTGGGGGATCTGGCGCCACGACGAGATGGTGTTACTGGCCATGGTGAGCGATTTGAGCGTGATGGGCCAGTTGCTCATGGAGCCGGCGAATTCTGTGAGGGTCAGCCGTGGCACACTTTTCAAAGGTGAGATGGGTGACGCACGGTTGAAGTGGATTTTGCGCGTCTCCTTCTTGCGGTCCTTGGTGATGTCGAAGCAGGCTTCTTGCAGCGCCGGCAGTCTCGCGACGATGTCGGCGTGAGCGGCGGGCATGAGAGCCCGATGGTTCTGAGGGCTCACGGTGAAGGACCGGATTACCTTGACGGGAGGCAGGCGGTTGACCCTGTCAAACTCCTCGTCCTGGCCGACAAAGTCTATCCAGGAATCCGCAAAGCGCTTCTCGCCGATGTCTTTGATGTTCCATCTGCGGCGCTGCCACAGCTCAAAGGTTGCGTTGCGGAGGTCGCTGGGCGATGAGATGCTCAGGCTGAAATCGATGCCTCCGCTGACGGCCTCGTCGACGGACCAGCAGCTCATGATGCGGAAGAGGCGGTAAAAGGCACTAGTGAAGCAGGCGTTGTTCTCGGCCTTGTCCTCCCAGGTCTCCTTCTTTTCGCAGGGATCATTGTCGTACGCCGGCAGCTCGACGTGCAGGTTGATCTGCTTCACGATACCCCGCCTCGAGCCCACCATGGCGGTCTCGAAGTCGTCCAGGCTGGCCTGGGTGACTCGGAGGACGGCAAAGTTGAAACGCTCAATGATGGCCTGCCACTCCTTGCAGACCAGGGCGTAATCGGCGATGGAGTCGGAATCATCGCCGTGCCGCCAGTGGTCGACGACATGCTCAACGACTGCGGCGCGGAGCTCCGGAGGGAGCTGGCAGAACCTATCCATCCTGCTCGGAGGGGGCGATGCACCGCAAGTAGACATGGTGGGAGGTGTAGAATAAAGACTGTATGTAGCTCTGCACAAGAGCAGGTGAGGTTGCAGGATGAGACGGCACGACGTTGACTTGAGTTCGGCTGTAGCCTGCCACTCCGCTCAGGCTGCGGTCGCTAAGTATCGGTCAGGTCGAAGTACGGACAGGAGGGCGTTTGGCGGGCAAGCGGCAGGCGGGGAGCGCACCTGATTGCCCTTGGTGGGATGGAGAGGGCCTGGACAAGAGGGTACATCTGCCAAGCCGAGAGGGAGGATCCCGCAGTGGGCGTCTGGCCGGGGGCAGGTGTGACGACGCATGTACCGTCGTGGTACCTCGACGGTCGAAACCTCCTCAGCGCCGAAATGCCAGGCCGTCTTGTTAGGGCGGTGGTGGTCGGTAAGAGGAAAAGGTAACCTGGGACGAATAGCGGGTGCGGGGAACCGGTGTGTGTTGTTGGTTTGGAGGTGACAGATGGCGCCGGATGACCTCCGTTGGAGGGGAATGAATCAGTCACCGAGATTGAGACTTTCGGACGGGTTTTGTCGTATCGCCAACCTCGACCAGTCGTATCTCTGAAGGCTCGTTTGTTTGTCTGGCAACCAACCTGCAACCCAAACGAGAACCAAGTGTGACAAAAGGAGAGTGACACAACACACTAACAAGGAAGGTCGACGGCGCTGGCAAACCGAGGGTACTTTCATCGAGGTATCGTATCGCATCGCTCCTTCCCCAGCCGCCAAGGTGTTATCGTAGTGCATCCCGCTATCCTATCTTGGGTCTCCGCTTTGCTATCGATAACGGATCCGCAGCAGTCACCGTGGTCGTCCTCTCTCAGGCAGGCAGGCCTTCAGGGTCCATTCCCCGTCCCGCAGATTAAAGGGGATGGGGACCGTCCAGTTTCGCACTCTGTTCGGATGCTCCCAGTGTCAAGCATAGATCAGACACGAGCCGATTTGCCACAGGATGACACTGCCACCCGCTCTCCTGAGAATTCCCAGATCTACCGTCGCAGAATGCAGGCACTGGGCCAGACGCTGTGTTGGACCACACACACATTCACCGCCAAGCCTGGCCCCTCGCCGCTGTTGCGGCCTGGAACCGACCTGGACTGGACCCGATGGCCGCCGGGTTTCACTGCACTCGTCCACTGACACGTCTGCACCATGGGCGGGGCAGTCTCTGGTTCCAGTGGGGCCCCCTCGGCGTTCCGCTATGCCATCCTCCCTCCCTCGCAACAACCTAACCCAACGTCCCCGCCCCATCCTCACTGAATCAGGGCTAGTGCGGGGTTCCTGCTGCGCCCACTGCTGGCATTTCTGGGCCTGCGGTTTGCTGCAATCGCCCGCCTCAGTCTCTACTTGTGGGCTCCAACATTGCGGGCTGCTGTGTGGTGAGGTGCTAATTATATTGCCTAGTGGGGAGAAATTGGAGTTGGCACCCTTGTCCTCCTCCGGCCTCACTGATTCCAGCTGTGATGACGAAACCCGCAAGGACGCAGCCTTCTTTTCTTTTCTTCACCCTCGTCTCCCTCGCTGCCCATTTCGCCCAGACTTCTTCAACGTACCCTTGCGACAGACAGAGAGGTGCCGAGTCGACACCATGATTGAAGCGACGAATCCTCCCCTTGCCATGGCTGACAAGCCCAACGGCCTGCAGGCTCTGCGCGAGTCCAAGCCCCCCGCGACCGACACCTTCACCTACCTGACCATTATCGGCGAGGTGCTCTCTCCTGAGATCCTGCCCGACCTCAACGACATCCTCCAGGATGCCCAGCTCACCCAGGACATCGGATGGGACCTGGTCGAGATGCTCGTGCCCGTCCAAGGGAGCGAGCAGTGTCTCGAGACCATCGCCCAGCTCGGCAACCCGCGTGAGGTGATCCTGAAGGTCCTCGAGGTCCTGGAAAAGACAGTTGACGAGGCCACCGACGAGGAGGACGACCCCGCGACGACGGCGGCCTTTGTCCACCTGGTTGGCATGCTGAGCATCCTGCACAAGCGCCTCAACGTCGCGCGCCCCTCACGCTTCGTTCACACGACCCTTCAGAGCGTCTACCGCACTTATCATCCCCGCAACCCGGAAATGACGGCGGCGGTCATCGCCCTCGTCCGATCTCTCTCGGGCGACAAGCGCCCACCGCTTCCCACCCGCCAGTCCAGCAACAAGCTCGACACGCCCTTCACGAACAGCGACCCCACGAAACATGCACCCGATCCCGAGGCGGGGCAGAGGGAGCAGCTCGCACCGACCGAGCAGGACACGACCAAGCGGCTGCTCCAGTCCTTTATCACCTGCATAATCGAGGCCTACGTTAACTGCACAGGCATGGAATGGGCCTCGCGGCTGCTGGAATACTACAACCCGGAGCGTGTCGTGATCCGCAAGAGCGTCCTGCGCGCCTTCAAGGAGGACACCGATCTTTTGGCGAGGGACGCTCTGGTTGGCCAATTAGTGGTATGTACAATTCGTCTGATGTTGCGGACGGACGAACGGCTAACCGGATAACCCAGGCACTTGCAGGAGACCTCGGCTTGAACAGAGTGCATGCTCTGTCCGTCAACGACATCTTCGAGGGCTCCATCCCCAACAGCCCGCTGGCCATCGAGACCGACGTCCTCGGTCCCGATACCATCAAGCTCTCCACCGGAGGCGTCTGGTGCCTGGTTGCATACTGGCTCTTCTCGGCGGAGGTCTTTGACGCGGATTACGAGCAGGTCCAGATGACAATGTTCCCCGACCACCTCAAGCTCTTGCAGAACTTCCTTGGCGAGGACCCGCAGTCGTGCATCGTGGGCAACCCGGGCACCACCGAGGCCCTCGTCGTGATGGGGCTCTGGCTGGAGAACTACAAGCGCATCTCGCCGTCGGACGGCGATTTCATGCCGTACCACCATCTCCTGACGCTGGTGTCCGTCTTCCACCCCTCGCTCTCCGTCCGGAACGTTGCCACCACGCTCGCGGGTCTCGTCTTGCACGACGACCCCGACGACAACGACCGGCTGAAGATCCTCGAGGACCTTCTCGAGAACTGCATCTTTTCCGCTCTGCAGGCCTCTGCGGTGACGTGGTTGAGAGAGGAGCTGATCATCGCGCAGAAGCGCAAGCTCACAAATAGATTTGCGACAGCCGACGCAATTGATACCCTGCAGTACGCGCTGTTCCCCAACATGGCGTTTCTCAAGGAGCAGGACGCCCCGGCACTCTGGGAGTACTGGGTGCAGAACTTCCCCTTCCACCTGCAGGTCGCCAACTTTGCCTACTTCTTGTTCGCCGGTACCAGCTTCCAGCACTTGGTACCGGCCAGCATGCCCGGGGCCGTGGAGCAGCGCTACGTCGAGCCCTTGCAGCACGCCGCGCAGACGCTGCTGACTGCTATCGAGAAGAAGGAGGTGGACGACCAGGGACAGGGGGGAGAGGTCGCTCAGCAGCTCGAGATCTTGACGATGCGCCTGAAGAGCCTGCCCCTGCAGTAAACTTGTTGTACATCAGTCCGCGGATATCACGGGGCCCCGGCGCGGGTAAGCCGAGATGCTCTGTGAAAGTGGTTTTGCATTTTGGGGAGTAGGTTTCATGGTGGGAGTTCTCTTATGAGTTACGAATGACCTTGGCTGCTGAGCAATGTGCGGCCGCATGAATTTGAAAAACATTTCCTTCACCTGCTCGATGCTGCAATTTGGCAAGAATGATTTCGACCGTGATTGAGTAAAACGGATGTGGTGTGGCTAGGAGCGGAGCGCTGTAGAGAAGCGCGACGAGCCGGTACCGCGCACTCACCGAGAAATCATCACGGACGGCACGGAATGCAACTGGCCGTGAACGGTCGCACGTGTCGTCTCATCCTACGGGATCCACGCGAAGCTGAAGGGGCGGTTGAGACCCTGGACGCTTCGGAGGGATGACGGTGTCAGTGCGAAACGGCCACGTCCAGAGGTCCATCGCGGCCCTGCCAGAAAGCTGCATCGTACCAAACAATCGACTGCCTGACGAGTTTTTTCCTCTCGTACATCATATTGACGACATCACCGTTTTGCAAAAAGTGCCGGCCGGAATGTGGCGAGTGACTCGTGGCTGTGCTCCGTCGTTGTGGCTTCATTGGACCACGACGGCCCAATTGGGACAGGCATGGGTCGCTTATGTAGCACCAGCCGCCCTCCCCCCCCCAAATCCGGAGGTCCCAGATCGTGCATGTTTGGGGGCGCAAAGTGTGCATCGTCCAAGGGGCTTGAGCCAAATTTGGGTTCGGGCGGGAACAGCTTGCTAAGCGGGGTGCGGTCTCACCATCGCAATTCCGTGAAGGCTGCATACCTCGTCATGCTGTGCCTGGCTTGTCTAGCTGGAGCTGACAATGTGATTGACGCCCAGGAAGAGGTGCGCTGTCGACGAGGTAACGTCCGCGCAGGAAATGCCCAAGACAGAACGGAATCCATAGGCGGTCGTTCGACTTTGATAACCGGGGAAGAGTCTCCGGCCTACCACAGGCGGGACAGCACTGCACGGGCCAGCCCGGTCTAGCCAATGCCAGCCGCCGCACAGACCAGGGCCTACCTCACTGACAAGGCCGGATCCTTGCAACCGGCAAGCTTAACGCCATCGGGATGTGATGTCATCGGACCGGGGCTGGAATTCCAAGCTCAGACTGTGATGCTGCTTTGGAAACAGTTAGAGCGGTGCGCGCAAGCCCGTTCAGTCCAGCCCGCCCTAACAAGCTTGCTTTTCGTGTGAAACCCTTCAGGTACTCTACCCGAGCAGCATATGATATTCCCGGCACTAGGAGAGGAGTCGGCGTTGTCTCCTTTAATTCTTCCGTCACCTCCTTCCTGGCTCTGCGCGGCCGGGTCTGCTCCATGTCTCTGGCTCCTCTCGCTCCGTACCGTACGTCAACCTTTGATTGACAACAAGCCAAGACCCAGTGACGCGACGTCTACACCCTTCGCTTTTTTTCGCCCCAAGCCCTTTTGTCGGTTGCACATGGTCGTACTGAGGCGCCGCCCTTGATCCCAACCCACTCCTTTGGCACAGGCTCGGAGATTCTACACTCTACAACAAACTTCCCCAGATATCGCCATCGACGAAACCTAATTCAAGACCAATTGCACGTGTAAACCGACACGCCATCATGGCGCACCCACCCACCGCGGCAAACCTCGCCCTGGGCACGGCGACAGAGTCCGAGTCGGCTGCGACTCCGCCGCCCAAGGACCTTCACATTGACGAGATCGACCGAGAGGGCCAGCACGTCGCCGTCGTGAGGGACAAGAACAGCAACATCGTCTACCCGTCCTTCGTACCGCCCGAGATCGACTCGCCCAATGTTAAATCGCCGCACTCAACGACGTCGCCCAAGATGCCGGAAGCACCACAGAACGACAAGGGACCGCGAAAGACACCCTCGTCGAACCACCTAGCCCCTGAGCGCCCTGAGCCGTCCGGTTCGACAAACCCCCAAAATCGCCCTTCCATCGACCAGAGGTCGAGGACGGACGCGCCGACCCGCAAAGCTGGTGCCAGCAACGCAGGCTACCGCCATACGCCCAAGCGCGCGGGAACGTCGTACCTGGACAGAGCTCTCTGGGCCGCCAACAGGCGCGGCTCGAACGCGAGCTCGAGTTCGAGCTCGAGCGATTCCTCGGGCGACGAAGACGAAGACACAAGAAGCCCCGCCGAGAAGAAGGCCGCCCAGGACAAAGCCAACGCCAAGCGCCAAAGGGAAATCGCCGAGCGGTACCGCCGCTTCCACGTCGGCAACGAGAACTACAACACCAAGGGAAAGGTGAAGAAGGACGGCCGTCTGCGGATCTCGGTCAAGGAGACGGCAAACACTGGCTACCTGGCCAAGGCTCTGGGGCAGGCTGTGAAGAAGGTCGTGCCGGCGCCCGAGGGCGAGGAGCGCCCCGACGACGACCGGCGTTCCGTCGTCTCTCGTCTGTCGTCCGCCACCACGGCCACGGCCGACCGCGAGCCGGCGCCGCGGCTGAACATTGTCATCATGGTCATTGGCTCGCGCGGCGACGCTCAGCCGTTCCTGAAGATTGGCAAGATCCTCAAGGAAGACTACGGCCACCGCGTCCGCATTGCGACCCACCCCGCGTTCCGCGACTTTGTCGAGAAGGACTCGGGTCTTGAGTTCTTCTCGGTCGGAGGCGACCCCTCAGAACTGATGGCGTTCATGGTCAAGAACCCGGGAATGATTCCGACGCTGGACGCCGTCAAGGCCGGAGATATCGGTCGACGTAGGTCGGCCATGGCGGAAATGTTTGACGGATTCTGGAGGGCCTGCATCAACGCCACCGACGACGAGAAGGACGTGCACAACGTCAAGATGATGGGGGAGAAGGACCCTTTCATTGCCGACGCCATCATCGCCAACCCGCCCAGTTTCGCGCATGTCCACTGCGCCGAGGCCTCGGCATCCCGCTGCATCTCATGTTCACGTTCCCATATACGCCGACGCAGGCCTTTCCCCACCCGCTGGCCAGCATCAAGAAGTCCAACGTCGACCCGGGCTACACCAACTTCATCTCTTACCCCCTGGTCGAGATGATGGTCTGGCAGGGGCTGGGCGACTTGGTCAACGACTTCCGCGTGAAGACCCTCGGCCTGGATGCGGTCTCGACGTTGTGGGCCCCCGGAGCCACGTACCGCCTGCACGTCCCCTTCACCTACCTCTGGAGCCCCGGGCTCGTGCCCAAGCCCCAGGATTGGGGCCCGGAGATCGACATCTCTGGCTTCGTTTTCCTCGAGTTGGCCTCGACCTTTGAGCCCCCCAGTGACCTGGAGAAGTTTCTCGACGCCGGAGAACCACCCATCTATATCGGCTTCGGCTCGATCGTCGTCGACGACGCCGACCGCTTCACTCAGATGATTTTCGAGGCCGTGCAGCTGGCCGGGGTGCGCGCGCTGGTGTCCAAGGGCTGGGGCGGCCTGGGAGGCGACGAGATGGACGTACCCGAGAACATCTTCATGCTGGAGAACACCCCCCACGACTGGCTCTTCCCGAGAGTCAAGGCCTGCGTGATCCATGGCGGAGCAGGAACCACCGCCATCGCTCTCAAGTGCGGCTTGCCGACCATGGTCGTCCCGTTCTTTGGCGACCAGCATTTCTGGGGCAGCATCCTGTCCAACTGCAAAGCGGGACCCGAGGCTGTGCCCTACAAGCAGCTCGACGCCGAGAAGCTCGCCGAGGGCATCAAGTACTGCCTGACGGACGAAGCGAAAGAAGCGGCCGCCAAGGTAGCCAAGGACATCGAGTTGGAGGGCGATGGCGCGAAGAATGCCGTCAGGTCGTTCCACCACCATCTCACCCTGTCCGGTATGAACTCGATGCGGTGCTCCATTCTCAAAGACCGTGCCGCCGTTTGGACGGTCAAGAAGACCAACGTCAAGCTCAGCGCACACGCTGCCGATGTCATTGTCGAACACGGCGAACTGTCGTGGAAGAAGCTGAGACTGCTGCGACATACCGAATGGAACGATTTTGAAGGTCCAGGAGAGCCGGTGACGGGGATAGCAGGCTCGATTGCTGGGACAATGGGTAACGTGTTTGGCGGGATCGGGAGTGTGCCGTACAGACTGGCCAAGACGTCACACAAACGAAAGGAGAAGAAGGAGAAGAAGCGGAAGCTCAGAGCCCTCAGGGACAAGCGCACGAGCGCCAAGAACCGCAACGCCCAAACCAACGGCAACCTCCACCAACACGTCGAAATCAGCAACGAAGACCCTCCGACGAACGGTGACCAAACCGGAGAGGGCAATAACAACAAGGAAAGAAACAAGGAGCAGTCTCAGGCGAACGGAAATGCCTCTTCCAGCAGACCCGGAACGCAGGACCGTCGAGACACAATGTCTTCCGTGGACACGGGCACCGACGTAGAAGACGCCGTGGACGAATACGCCAACGAGGTCGGCGAAGGCTTCGGCAAGACGGCCCAAGCTCTCGCGAAGGCGCCGGTGAACCTGTCAATGGCAATCGCGCAAGGCTTCCACAACGCCCCCCGCCTGTACGGAGACGACACCGTGCGGCGCCCGCCCCGTGTCACCGGCATCAGCTCGGGTCTCAAGGCGGCCGGCAGAGAATTCGCCTACGGCATCTACGACGGCACAACCGGCCTCGTGCGACACCCCGTCAGGGGAGCCAAGAAGGAGGGCGTCAAGGGCTTCGTCAAGGGCACCGGCATGGGCCTCACGGGGTTCGTTCTCAAAGACCTCAGCGCCATCATCAGCCCCTTCGGCTACACGCTCAAGGGCATCGCCAAGCAAGTCGAGCGGAGAAAGCAGCCCGACCGCGTCGTTCGCCGCGCGCGTCTCGTCCAGGGCCAGCGCGAGCGGCGCCAGCAGTCGGCCGACGTCAAGAAGAACCTCGACAAGGACGTTATGTCCGGCTGGCTCACGATCCGCGAGCTCATGGAGACCCTCGAGGCGGAGGAGAAGAAGAAGGGCCTCCGGGGCATGCTCCCGTCCAAGAAGGACCGGGTGAACAACGCCGCCTTTGAGAGCGTCGACGTCGCCGAGCGCGCCCTGCAGGCGATCAAGAAGGGCGAGGGCATGGACACGGTCGTCGGCACCGAGAAGCAGCTCCGCAAGACGGACGAGAAGCTCAAGAGCCGCGCCACGAGGCACAGTGCCGATACCCGACGGTCTGCAGACACGGAGCCGGGGCAACGGTCCACGGACGCGCGCAAGTCTGCTGACAGCCCAAAGAAGAGGGACGACATCGCCGAGAACGAGGACGGAGAGCAGCGGGCCGAGGCGGCGGACCGCGCCGAGGCGAAGGATAGAGCCGCAGCGGAAAACCAAGCCGGACCCAACGGGAAAGCCCTGGCGAACGGCAGCGTGGCGACGGGAGACCGATCCACGGCTGAGGCAAAGCCTCCTCGGGCGGAGGACGGACCCAGCCGGCCCAGCGTTGATCGCGCGAGGTCGGCCAAGGTCTAGGAGTTTGGGAGGCCGCCGTCCACACACGGCATTTTCCTTTGTTTTTCTATTGCTTTTTTGATTCGCTTTACACGAGAGGCCAGACGCCCGGGCATGTCGGTACATGCAAGATGTTTCGGCGTTTGGGGACCTTTTCGGAAAGCTTCAACTTTATACCCCCCTTTTTGACATACATACCCCCCGTTTCTTTGTGTTGGAGGACCCTGTTTCAAGAGTAGACAATAATCCCAGTAATGCAAAGTAATACACAAACGTCATCCCGGGCTCGCTGGTGAAGCGGTGTTAGGGGTTCCTCGCCTTGTTCCTATGTGACTTTGGCTGGATGTTTGGTGCATCGCCATACCCCGCCATGAAATGGCAGTAGACGAGAATGATGCCGAAGGATAAGTAATGCTTGTTGACGTTTGCACAAGGTTTCGCCGTTGAGACGCCTGTCCACGGGACGGTCCCCGGGGTGTGGTGTAAAACGTGTCTCATCCCTAGAAAGACCTGTAAACTTTCATGTCACGGGAACTCACCCGGACGGCAGTAGCATTAGTCGGGGAAACTTAAGCCAGCAAGAGCGTTTGCTTTCAATCATCATTGCAGGGATTCGTACACGGAAAACGCGACCCAACACATCACCTGGACCCGGCACCGTCGAAACAAGCGGACGGCCCACTCCGGACCAAGAGAATGTAAGCACGATGGGGGTATATTGACAACGCAACCACGTGAAGGACGTGAACAATGTACAGGGTTCGCGAAAAACGATGAATTCATATGCCGCCGCGAGTGCCCTCAAGAGCACCCATCCACCATAGGGATATCCATCCCCTACAAGCCAAATAAGAAATAGCTAAACCTGGAAGCTAACTCGAACGCAAATTGGAAACGACTTTTGTGTACACCCATTACTCGCTTTGGTCAACGTCCATCGACTCCTTGGCGGCCCTCCCTCGCGTGGTTCGCGCCGACGCCCGGGTCGCTGCTCTCGGTGCGGGCTTCTCCTTGGCTGCGGGCCGGGCCGGCAGCTTCGTCTTGGCTGCCGCCTTGGATGCCGCCGCCGCCGACCTGCCCTTGCGTCCGTTCGATTTGGGCGGTGGTGTGGCTTCCTCGGGCTCCTCCTCGTCGTCTGCTTCTTCCTCCTCCTTCTCCGGCTCCGGCTCCGGTTCGGCTGTTGCCTCGTCTTCCACTTCGGACAGAGGGGATTCGTCACCACTGTCATTGACCTTGGCGGCGGACTTCTTCGCGCCCTTTTTGCCATCCTCCTTGTCGGGAACTTCAGAAAGGACCGAAGAGTCGTCATCGTCATCGTCGGTCTCTTCTTCGGGCGTAGGCTCGCCATCAACGTATTCCCACTTGCTAACACCATCCCACATCTCGCGGTCGTCGTCCGACGAGTCGCGTTCGGTGTACTGGGAGACCCTCGTGGCTCGGCCACTGCGTCTCCGGTTCTCTGGCGGAATGTCGGACTCGGGGCGTCTCGCCTTGACCTTGGCAGGCTTCTTGACCTTTTGCTTCTTTGGTTTGGGTTCCTTCGGTGCCTTAGGCTCCTTGGCCTTGGGCGTCTGCCTGGCCTTCTTGGCGGGTTGATGGTCTCCCCTCTCATCCATGGATTTCCTCTTCTGTAATGCTGTTAGTCTCGGCCGCAAGGCATACGATAGGGACGTGAACTCACCTTCTTTCGGTCGATTGACTTGAAGAGGCCATCCAGCTTCTCGTCTATCTCCGCCGGCAGGTACTGCTTCTCAGCAATCTCCTGGGCGATCTGGTGCGAAGGCAGAGCAGTGTAAAGACCAATCGGCAGGCCAACCTTGCCCGGGTACGCCTGGAAGCTCCAGTTCTTCCTTTCCTGCCATTTCCTGATGACGGCCTGGGCCAGATCACTGACGACGTAGAGGTTCTCACTTGCGTCCGGGTCGATCGCATCGCGGGTCTGCTTGACTCTTTCGGCGTACTTGTAGATGAGCCCCAGGTTGTCCTCGGTCGCTACGTTGGTGAGGTAGTACAGGATGTAGCGGCCGTGGTCCGCCAGATCGCTTGCATAGGCCGACAATTCCTCGCTACTGGCGTTCTCGACGTTGTCTGGCTTGTTGAAATCGGGGTGGTGGGCCAGCAGAGAAATGAGCCTTCCCATGATGGCCTCCATGGGGTGCTGTTCGCTCGATTGCAGCGCGCGAACGCGGGATCGAATCCAAGTCTCGACGCGCTGCTTCAGGTCGGCGCTCGGCTCGAAAGCCGTCAGGAACACAATGGTGTAGAACCGCGCTCGGAGTTTGCCCTGCACAAGGTACTTTTGGAGCTTCTCGATGAAACCCCGGCGAACATTGAGATGCGGGTCCTGCGCGGTGAAAGCAAGGCGGTTGAAGTCGGCAGGGGTCAGGAAGTCGTCAAAGTGCTTGATGGTGCACAGCTTCAACAGCAGCTGGGCGGCCAACAGGCGAAGTCGCGACTTGTGGTGGTTGGGCGTATCCTTTGTCTTGCAGAGCTCTCCCCTCTTGGCGACTAACGTCTTGAGGAGCTTGAAGACTGGGACGGCCTTCTCCTTGGCTTCTTCAACGTCGTCCATACTCCGCAGTCGGTTGACGAGGATGTGCATGGACAGACACTTGGCCTGCAGCTCCTCGTCCACATCGGCGTCCTCTACCCAGTCGGGGTCTTTGTCTGTGGCGTCCGTCCGAACCTTGAGCAGGATTTGCTGTACCGTCATGTTGAGGATGTCATCATCCGAGTCGAGAGTGATCTTGGATGCCTGCAGTTCGAGCTGTGCGACGGACTGCAGTTTGTTCAGGAAGTGCGAGGAGCCGTAGTTCCAGTCTTCCATGACCTTCTCCAGCAAGCTGGTTGCGTTGACGAGACCCTTGTCGTCGCCCTTTGCCAGAAGGATCTTGATGGCGTACTTGGCAGACTTGACAGGCCGACCGTACAGGGCGTAGCTCACGAGGGCCTGCGAGAACTTGCGGTCCTGCGGGATCTCCTCGGGGTACTTCTTGGAGTACGACGCGCAGGCCTTGAGGGTGTCAACGACGGTCGAGTCGTTCTCGTTGGTCTCCGTGGGGGCCTGCTCGATCAGGCCCTTGCACAGCTCGCCCACGTGGGTCTTGAACAGTTCGGGGTTGCGCTGGGAAATCTCGTTCAGGATCTCGTGCGAGACGGAGCCTAGGCCATCCTTGTCGTTCCTGGAGTAGTCCAGAATCGTCGCCAGATGGCTGCGGTTGAACAGCAAACAAGCTGACCGGTAAAGGAGCGGCAGGAGGGTGTCCAAGCTCGTCGCGATCTGGCTTGCGTTGATGCGCTTGACCAGCTCCTTGATGGCCTGACGCACCGTCTTGTAGTCGCTCCCGGCGCTGACCGAGAACCTGACAAGTTGGTAGGCGCGCCGGTCGTTGAGGTTCGCAAACTTCTGGAGGTCCGTCTTGACCTTGAAGGGTCTGGGAAGAACTGGGTGATGTACTGGACTGTCCTCTCCAGGTTGGCCGTCTTTTTTGGCCGGTTGTCGTCCATCACACCGCCGTTGTAGCTCTCGCACTGGTTGATGAAGGCCTCGAGGACCTGCGCGAACTGAGGTTGGCGGCCCTGCATCGCGAAGAAGGCTCTCTTGGCCGCAGGGTCCAGCGACTGAGTAAGGAGCAGGATTCTCTCTGCTCGGATACGGTCTTGGTCCGCAACGCTCGCGGTCTGTGAGCTCTGGCTGGCCGCGGCTCTGGTGTTCTTGGGCGCTTTGATGGGAGGGTAGGACAGTGGCACCAGGCACTCGAAGAGCACGCGATCCAGCAGGATATTAAGCTCAGAGTCATTTGCGTAAAACGCGTTGAAGATACGTGAAGGAATCCCGGCCAGGGCCGCAATTACGCTCTCCTGCCCGGCAGCCAGCTCTCCGGATCCAACAGCCCACAGCTTCGCGAGCAGAGTCATGGCGTCGACTCGAACAGCGGTACGCTTGTCACGGCAACGGTCGGCAAGACTGCTCAGGACCGAGCCGTCCTTGTCCACGCCACCAGGTGCGGCGAGCTTGGTGACGAAGTCGCGGAAGCTGAATAGCTCCATCACCTTGACGGCAGCCAGGCGGACCTTTTCATCACCATCGTTGAGCTTCTCCCCGAGATGCTTCACGAGCTCGGCCTGTTCCTCGCGGTTAAGACCAATGCCACCTGCCGAGGTGGCCAGGATGTACCCGACAGCGGTGGTCCAGGCTGCGCGGATGGTTGCTGTCTTGTCGTTCCGTCTTCCCAGGAAATGATGGTACGCTGACGAGTGCGTCTGCGCAAACGACTGAGGCGACAGCGGCGTGGTGAGAACGTTGTCGGAAATCTGGCTGGGAGCCTCATCGGCCAAGCGCAGCGGAGGGTACTGGGCAGGGTCCAGAACGGGCGGCGGGGGCGGGCCGGCAGCACCGATTCCAGAGATCATATCCCCGAGCGTCTCGGTGGCCAGCTGTCGAAGATCCACGTTGTCGGCCGAGAGCTCTGCCTCGACCTGAGGAATGACATTTTGCAGGACGGATGGTGCGGCGCGCCACAGCTCTCTGATGAGGTAGTGGGCCTTCTTGAGCTCCTTCAATTCTGCATCTGTGGGCCCCCTGGGCGTGTCCTCATCTTCGTCCTCGTCGTGGCGGTTTCCGACAGTCTTGGCCGCGAAACGAGAGGCGTCGAGGATAACATCGCTGAAGTACTGGCTGACATAGTGCACCATCTTTTCTGTGCACACGTTGCAAATCTCCTTGGCCATGATGTAGGCGGCCGGCTCGTCCTTGGGTAGCAACGTCGACTGGCTACCGTTTTGCTCGCCGCGTTCGGTGCGGCCCTGGAAGCCCCCTGGCGGTGCGGCTCTCAGGAATTGGGCCATTATGACCTCAATGACCTTGGGGTTCATTCCCGACGCCTCGTCGACCAGGGCAATCAGCATTTCTGTCATGGTGTTGCGGACTTCCTTGGAGACGCCCTCCTCAGGGCCCGAATTCGAGCCGCCCGAGACGCCGTCGAAAAAGACCGAGAACAGCTTCAGCAGCAAGTCGTCGGCGCCATCGACATCGTTGATCAGAAGGATACTCTTGACGTCGGTGAGCGCCGTTAACACGTACTTGTGCTGGCTGTGGTACGGATGCCCTTGATCGCTCAGGGAGGGGAAGATGTGTGTGACCACGAGGTTGAAGAACATCTGATGCAGTCATTAGCCAGGGAACCACGGCATCGGGGGGCTCGTGACGTACCTTGGTCTGGTCGGCGGTGAACGGTGCGTCGGGCGCACACAGGCGCAGGATGTCGGCTATGCATACTGTAGCGTACGCCCTCACGCCCTTGTCCTTGTGCGCCAGCAGGTTGCGTTGGCCCAGCGCGTGGGCAACGTCGTTTAGAGATTCGACATCGACGGTGTCTTGGTCGAGGCCGCTGAGCTCCTCGGACAAGGTCTGCAGGCGGTTGAGGAGCTCGGTGGTGGGTATGGGTTTTCCAGGCTTCCAGGTCAATTCTTCGTCGAATTGAAGGCTGACAAGCTCCTCGCCCTGTTCCTCCTCGACCTCCTCTTGAGGTTCAGCGCGACCGCGACGGGGCGCCATCTTGGGGCGGTGTGTTGCGGGCGCTCGGAGGTTGACGTGTTGGTGAAGCGGGGAAGGAGTGTATCGATGCTGTCGTCGATCGACTGGGACGTGTCAGGGGGTCGATGATGCGCGCGTGGCCTAAGTCATGGATAGAATTTGGCGCGTCGCGAGCACTAGCAGAGGCGTGCGGCGAAGGCAACGGGTGCGCGGAGTCGCGAGTTCAATTGTGGTGGTGGCGACGGGAAGGGGATGAAGCTGGCGCTCTCGATGTTGCGACGAAAATGGATGGATGGGAATAGTCGAGTCGTGTTACGCGCCTGCGCCTACAGTTCGTCGGGTTTCGCGTGCTTACCTGAGCTGAGGTAGAGGGAAGGTACCTGCTTGAGCTTGCAGCTGTACACTACCTTCCCCTTGTCGTGGCTGGACGCGGCCCGGGCACGAACACATGTGGAGTCGTGGCTGCTTTGCCTCGGGTGGCTGGTGGCGGCTGTCGCCGTTCATGGCTCAACGACCTGTCTCCACTTCAGCTCCTTGCCCTCCTTTTAAGCTTCATCTCAAGTCTCCCATCAAGGCGGTCGGCTCGACACCAGATTTCTTGCTTCATGTCGTATGACTTGTGCGTCAATTGCTAATTTGGTAGGGACTTTTTGATTCAGTCAAGTCTCTTCGCAGCATCCGAGTTTGTTTCCCTGTCTGGCAATCTCTATCCCCGTTGTGACCGTATGCTTTGCTTGAATCTCAGGGACGGTATTCTCGACAGGTGGGGGAATCGCTGTTTCCTCGGTTGGGCTTCTCGATGATGAGCTGGTCAGGTGGTCCGCTATTTAGTGCATTCTCGGAAAATAAACACCATCATTCTGGTCGCGGAATATTCCGAACGCAGCCCTGACCGACAATATAACACCTGAGCTTTCTCACCCCTGGAACTCCCGAGGCTACAATATTGACGGCTGCTTCATTATCGGTCTCATTCCTGTCACCGGTAGAAGATCTGTCGACGGGATATTGCGGCGAGGGTTCTTGCGGCAGTACTCTCTCCGGCCTGCTTCAAGCTCCGACTAAGAAGACTTATGATCAAACGACGATGGTTCTGAATCCTAGAAAGAGCGTATGTGATGCTCGTTAGAATTTCATTCGGAACGTTCCGTCTCGCGAGGTGAAGCGCAGGCGCGAGATGGTTCGGTCACTGCTTCATCACAATAAGAGGCATCATGTACCTGGAAATTAACCTTTACACAATCAACTATTTACGTGTATTGGCAATCATAGATGCGTGACCTATTGGTCGATCCCCCACAAGCAATCTGTAATGCTGAATTTGGAAGACGGGATATACCACAGTTCGACACTAGAAGCCGCTGTTGCAAGCTTCAGGTCGTGGAATTGATAGTTCAATAAACGTAGATATGTCTCTCTTCTCCCCAAAGAAACCTATTGGGCCCGTTATGCCGCATGCTAAGGAGGATGCTCTATTACCTTGGAAGAAACAGCCTCCTGACCGAACATCTGACTAGCTTGACTGACTACCATATGAATACACCACGAGTATTCACTCCCTTACCGAAAAACTGACTGAACAGGTTTTCTGCCCCGCCTTCCTTCCCCTCGAAGAGCCGCCTGCCTACCTTTCTTCTCGTCGGACGCGATCTTAAATATTATCCTTCTCTTCTTCTACTCACCCGCCACCACCACCGCAAATCGCGTCGCAGCTTTCGTCCGTCTACAGACAAATCCAAGGTTGGTTGCTGCTTGAGGAATGAAACCCTCTCCCTTCTTTTTGTGTCTCGTCGATATCGTCGTCGCTAATAAGAGACCAGTACGCTTTGCGCCTTTCGTTCCCATCACTAACGCTTTTTCGTCATCTCGTCTTTGAGGTAAGTTGAGATCAATACCCTGTGATCTTATGTCTGTTCCATTTGTGGAATCAACAAGATCGATCGCCCCTACTTGACTCGTTATTTCCGATTCCTCTTGCCTTCCTTGTCTCCAGATCACAGCTCACGAGCAAGTCGCACGCATTTCGATTGCTTCGACCTCGAGATCTTAAGGAACGAGTTATCTCACATACACTCCATTGCGCCCTTGCTGTTTCTGTCAGGCGAGCCTTTGCCAAAACCCCACCTGACTCCTTCGTACCTTCCTCTTGAGCAGGAAGTTGTGGGTTTGAGTGTAAAGCCTTGTTTTTTCTACCTTTGTTGACGCGCCTTTCTCACCCCCTTCGCGTACCTTCTCTCACTGAGCACTTCACTCTCACTCACCAATACCTCTCCCCCGTCTTTTCCACTGCTACACTCTCTCTTCTTCACCACCAACTGACGGTAATATTCTTTTGCAGACGACAACACTCACTTCACATCATCTCTCGTTCAGCAAACGCAGTAAGTCTCATCCATTCATTTGCGTATTATCAATCCTTCCTTTATGTTTAGCGACATCATAATACACTCTCTCATTCGTATTCTCATTTTTCATTCTTCAAAGGCATTGCTCAAAAGCCAGTAACCTAACAAAGCCCCAGATCCAACTAAGTCAACCCTTGTTCAACAAGCCGCAAGCTCCATCAGGATGATGAGTAAGTCTTCTGTTCCTCGAACGCTGCAGGCCGTCGTGAAAATCTAACCGCATCACAGACAAGCACTGCCCCCGCAGCCACCGCGGCTATTACCGCGAGGATGACGACCTGAGCGTCAACGATGGTGCCATCCAGCGCAACAAGGACTGGAGCACCTACCGCAAGACTGATACCTTCATCGTCATCTGTGCTGCGATCGTCCTTGCGTCCATCATCGGCGGTGGCATTGCCATAGGCGTTCACTGTAAGTGCTCGTTTCTCACACTTTCTTCTCATGTACTGACACTGAAAAAGTCGCAACTGGAGGCTCGGCCACGGGCGACGTCGGCCATGCTTCGGCTGCTCGTGTTGTCCCTCGCTTCCCCGCCATGCAGTTCAACGCTGCTCACCCCAACGGCACTCACTACGGCATCAACTCCACTCTCTCTGGCATCTTGTCCACTGGCACCCCGACTCTCTGCTCTGACGACGCCGAGATCAACACCGTGACCAAGTTCATGAACCAGACCACCGCCGACGCCACTACAACCATCAAGATGACTCGCACCCAGACTCTTCACAAGTCTGCCGAGGGTACCACCGTTTCGTCTGCCAAGGCTGTCAACACCATCCTGTCTGGCTCGTCCTCTGCCCCCGAGTAAGTCCTCTTCTTAGCAAACATGTTTGCCCTTTGCTTACACCCTCTTAGGTTTGTTCCCGTCGTCACCGAAGTCATCACTACCTCCGTGACCGAGACTGCGTACCTGACTGCCACTGCTACTGAGAGTCGCATAGTCTCTGAGCCCGAGTCCAGCATGGCTTCGACCCAGGCTTCTACCAGCGATGCCACCTCTCAGGTCGAGACCTCGTCCGCTGATGTCGTCTCGGTCGTCCTCACCAAGACCCTGACGGAAACTCGCAAGGTCACGTCCACTGTCAAGGAAGTCGTCTCAACCGCGACCTACACTCCCACGACGATCATCCGTTCCACTGTGACAGTCACCTCTCAGCCCTTCGGCACCTCGTCCCGCGAGGCTCAGTGCTCACGCGAGGTTCAGGACCACACAGTCTACGTCACCGTCACCGAGAGTGCGGACCCCAGCCCCTCCACCTCGACGACTGTTTCGTCCAAGGCTTCCGAGACGTCCTTCTCTTCAGCCCCTGCTTCCAAGGCCACCGACACCATCGTGGTCACCTACACAGTCACCGTCGACAGCCTGACGCCCATTTCCAAGGTCCCCGTCGTCAGCTCCTCCTCTGGCGTCCCCAAGCACTCGACCGGGGCCACTTCGCACTCCCAGGCGACCAGTGTCGTGACTCAGGTGGCGACCCAGACTCTCTACGTCAGCGTGGCTAATGGAACCGCCATCACCTTCAGCACTGCTGTTTCTTCTGTCCTCGGCCACGTTGGCACTCCAGTCCTTACGTCTCTCCCCTCCACCGAGACTGCCCAGGCCTCGACTGCCGCCGACGTCGTCGTCATCACCAAGACAGTCACCGACCAGGTGTTCCAGACTCTCAGCGCTGCCCCCACATCCCTGGTCGACGCCGAGACTCACATCGAGACCGACACCCAGACGTCCGTCGTCACCGTCACCGCCCTGCCCAGCACCTCCTCCGAATCGCCTCTGTCCACCAAGTCCATCCTGACCACGATCGTCCTCTCCGATCACGCCACCAAGACCGTGACTATCGGAGGCATGGTCACGGTGACGGCCCACCCCAAGAAGTCGACTTTCTCCGGCTCTGCCCACAACTCCACCAGAACGGACACCAAGATCATCACCGAGGTCGACGTCCGCACCCTGACCGTCACCATCAGCGGCCACGTTCAGACGTCCCTGGTCACGGTCCACAAGGACCTGACCGCCACCGTCACGCAGACCAAGGCTCTCAACACCAGCGCCAGCATCTCGACGGACGTCTTCCGCCTGCCCTCGGCCAACACGACCGTCTACATCTCGGGCACGCCCATGATGCACCCGCGTCCTACCACGGCCACCTTCCCGCCCTACGCCATCACCAACGGCACCGTCTTCCGCCCGACCACGACCTTCTTCAACCCCTCTGGCAGCGCCAGCGGCTCCCGCCCGCCGACCAGCAGCACCGTGGTCGTCGTCTCCAACGCAGAGAAGCGCGCCGAGCCCGTCGCGTTCGGCCTCGATGCCGCCACTGGCGGTTGCAAGAGCTGCACCACTTGCCTGGTCATCTTCGTGCTGGGCCTGCTGGTTCTGTTCTAAGCAGCCTCGTCACTCACTACTTATTTTCTTTGCTCTGTACAGCACGAAAGGAACGGTTGATACCCATCGCGATACGGAATGGGGTTACGGGGATACTTTTCATGCGTTCTGATACTTGGTCATTGGGCACGGGGATGAAACCGCAGAGGGTCTTTCTCGCCACATCATCTGGAACCGCGACTGGAGGAACTCCCGGGGTTACAAGGAATCGCTTTTCAACTTGCGTTGTCATTCCCTCTTAACACAACTTAGGTAGCAGTTTTCTTCTTTTTTGCAGATGACGACTGCCAGGATGGGTCGAGTTTGGGTTGTGGACGCGGCACTTGGAGAGGGTGGCCTTCTGGGTGGTTTTGCAGTTGAGGATCCGAGGTTTGGAAGGTGTGACTTTGCTGCATGGACCAGTCGCCCAAGAATACCAGGACACGCATTATTCATACTTGATGGCCCTTGTGATGTGATGTTCCTTTGTGACTTTCCCGACGCAACTTGACAACCGAGGCATGACCTCGTTCGTTCTTCACCAACAAGCACACAGGACCATTGTAGAGAAACAAACGCCAAGGTCGTCATTCATTCGCATAATCTAGGTCTATCTTGTGCCGCTCTATCCCTTAGTTGTGGGCCACCTTGAGAATCGTCTTCTCCATCTCCTCAAACGCCCCGACAATGGGCTGGTACTTTTGGAACACGCCGTCCTTGAACCCGTCGTCGACCTTTTGGATCGCGCCCTCCTCCTTCCACCGCTTGCCGATGAGCTCGTCGAAGCTCTCGCCCTCGCCCCGCTCGAGCGCCCACACAGCCTTGTACGCACCGCCGAGCGCGCACGCGTTGCCGCCGACGTCGAGCTTGTACACGCCGTCGACGCCGCCCAGCACGTCGCCCATGACGCGCGCGATGGCCGGGTTCAGCGAGCCGCCGCCCACGAGATAGATCCGGCGCGGCTGCGCGGGGAGCCCGTCGCGCGGGCTGTGCACGAGGTTCTGGCTGCGCAGGCGCATCGAGAGGGCCTGCGACTCGACAATGATGCGCGGGTCCGTCTGCCTGTCCCACGCGGCCGCCGCCTCGGCGAGGTCGCTGCCGTCCTGCTTCGCCGTGTACCGCCACGTGCCGGCCTTGATGTTGGGCACGATCTCGGGCAGGTCAAAGTACAGGCCCAGCTTGGCCCTGTCGGACTCGGAGCGGACGTCGAGCGGCGGGGTGTCGAGGACGGCCTTGTTGAAGTTGGCCCAGGGGTCGCCGCCCTCGGGCTTGGGGAGGGCGTCGCGGACGCTCTCGCGCGCGAGGCCGCCGTTCTTGTAGCAGAGCATGAACATGTACTGCCCCGGGGTGCACGGGTGGTTGAAGAAGTGGTAGGCGGCGTCGGGCTTGTAGACGGGCGTGACCATGAGGAAGGTCGACGAGGTGCCGAGCGAGACGATGGCGTCCATAGGCCGCAGCGGCAGCGCGAGGATCGTGGCCGGGTTGTCGCCGGTGAAGGGGCGATCTGGCAGTCCTTGCTGAAGCCGTAGCGCTCGACAAAGTACGGGGAGATGGGGCCCATCGACCCGCCACCGTCGTGGCGCGGCTCGCCCAGCTTCGCGCGCAGGTCCGCCACCTTGGACTTGTTGCCGGCAGTGAGCTCGAGCAGGGGCTCGCTCCAGGTGCCGGCGGAAATGTCCCACAGGTTCATGCCGCAGACGTCGCTGATGTCGATGGGGGCGACGAAGCCGAGGAGCACGGAGGCGAGGAAGGAGGAGACGAGGGAGATGCGGGACGTGGCGGCGTACATCTCGGGGAGCTTCTGGCGGAGGCGCATGATTTGCGTGCCGGTGAAGCGCTGTTCTCGCGCGTCTTAGTAAGGGAGCACATGTACAGAGACTCTTGCGTTGCGGCGGGGGGAACACATACGTGGTGGGCGGCGCTACCGGTGACCTCGGCCAGGCGCTGCGCCGTCTCAAAGTTGGCATCGAACTTGTCGCACTGCGCCTGCGTGCTGTGGTCCTGCCAGTTGGGCGCGTAGGGATGCGAGAAGCCCTGCTTGAGCTGCTCGACGAGCGGCTTGTCCGCCCGCAGGCCGCCCAGCAGCGTCTCGGCGTCCTTGCCCCAGTAGGTGCTGCCGTGCTGCTGGCACGAGCCGCTGATGCCCTTGATGCGGTCCAGCGGGGTCTTGGCCTTGAGGCGCTCGAGGACGAGGTCAATGGCCTCGAGGAACATGGCGACGAGGGCGTAGACCTCACCCTCGGCCTCGTTGGTCAGGACGCCCTTGCGCAGGCCATACTGCTTGCCAAAGTCGGCGTCAAAGTCGACCTTGGCCTCGGAGACGACCGTCAGGTCCGACTGCACGACAATGGCTGGGGACGCATCAGGGCTGAGGTCTGAGATGAGGGGCCGATGCTGCGGACTGACCTTTGAGCTGTTGGGTCGACAGGTCGAACCCGAGATACAACGGACCGGAACTCATGATGAGATGACGAGGCACGCAGACTTGGGTATCAATTATCCTGTCTATCTCAAAAAGTGTATGACCAAGAAAATAGGCAGGTCGGCGAGTGTGTGGGAAAGAAAAGGACACAAAACAACCGGGCTGTTGGCAAAGTTGACCGCTGCCACCACCACTTCCACATCACCTTGACGTGGGGTGTGGGCATGGAGGGGCAGCTTGGACAGGTGCATGGTCTCAGCCTTGTAGCAGTTCAGGCTAAATGTGGGCGGGCCAATCGTAGATTTCGCTGCTCGATGCGACCGACATGCGCGCCAATGACATCAGGACAGCTTGGCGGAAGCCAAGACAGCCTTGTCCCCGGACTCGGGAGTCGGGGACAGCTTGTCCCGCGTTCTATGCGCGTCTAGGCTGTGGCCCTGCATACGGAGCCAAGTCAGAGTTGCGGGATTGGACAGGATACGGGCGGTTCAACAAGACACATTCCATGCATATCAACAGTCGAGACAAAGAGCAAAATCTGTAATTTGGTAAACGAGAGACGAAAACTCTCGATATGACGGGCCTGTCGGTGGCCTTTTGCAATCCCCTCCCAAACGCCGCTCTGATGCAAATGGATGCCTATTCACAGATGCTCTCTATACATGGCAGTCCCTGTTGACAGTGAAAAAGAAAGACAAGAAAAAAACAGACGGCGGCGTATCCACGCTTCCAGAAATGGTTGGGAACCAAGGGTATCTCATCGTGAATGGCAAGCTCTTCCTCCGAATGTACAAGGAACTCGGCCGCCTTATTTGTGCTTGTGGCCGTTGCCGTTGCCGTTGGTGTGGCTGTGGTCCTCTGCCTCCTCGCTAGCCTCCCGATTGGCTTCGCCCGGGATGAACTCATCAAACTTGGGCGCGATTTCGGCCTCCTTTGGGACGAAGCGCACCTTGATCCTCCGCACACCCCGGACCTTGGCGCCGACCAGAGTGCGGACCTGGTCCTCCACATCACGGACGGCCTCGACCGACCAGGCTCCGGGCACGGCCAAATCAATGTCCACCAGGTAATTCTGGCCCGACTTGACGCCGGAAACGTTGCGGACGTCGACCTCATGGCCCTCGGTAACGTCGGAGAGGCTCCTCAGGGCGTATTTCCGGACATCGTCCTTGACTTCGTCGTCAATGGCACGGTCGGCCAATTCATACACGGCGGAGAGGGTGTTTTCGGCTCCGGCCTTGATGACGAGGAGGGAAATCATGAGGCCGCCGACGGGATCCAGCCAGGTTGCGTCCTTGAAAAAGTTTGCACCCAGGATGGCGAGCAGTGTGACGATGCCGGTCCAGCTGTCGACACGGTGGTGGACGGCGTTGGAGGCAAGGACGGAGGACTTTCGTTCGCGGGCGACTTTCATGGCTGTTTCCCCCTTTGTTAGCTTTTCCCTTTCTTTGCGATTTCCCGGCCCTCAAAGGATTGGGGGATAGTGCTTACTAGCTTGGTACAGCCACTCCTTCACTGCGACCGTACCCAGGGCCAACCAGGCGGCGTGCAAACTCGGGCCAACATGGCCGTGGCCGTGGCTGTGGCCGTGGTGGGCGTGGGCAATGGCCTCTGCAGCCGCTGCAGGGTCAAGGAAGAGGTGGGCGTGGAGGGTGATCAAGCTGCTCCAGCACATGAACAGGCCGCCGCCCAGGAGCATGCTGGAGACGCCCAGAGACCCCAGACTCTCGATCTTGCCGAAACCAGTGGGGAAAGCGTCGGTCGGGGGCTTCAGGCTCCACGAGACAGTGGCCAGCGTCAGGATGTCGGAGGCCAGGTCGGTCAGGCTGTGCCAGGCATCGGCAATCATGGCCTGGGAGCCAAAGGCGTAGCCGCCAGCTCCCTTGGCAAAGGCCATGCCCAGGTTGGAGTAGAGGCCGATGCGGGTGATGCGCACGCCGGCGTCGTTCTTGTTGCCCGAGGTCAGGTAGACGTTGTCGTGGCCATGGTGGTGGTGGTGGTGCGAGTGGCCGCCGTGGCTCCGGCGAGACTGGGCTGCGTTGGCCGTCATGGTGGCAGTGGTGGTGGAAGACATGATGACTGCGGCTGGTAATGAAGGGGAGGTGGTCTTCGCAGCCGTCAGGGAGTGAGTGAGATTGGGGAAGGAGGAGGAAGAAGATGTGGTGGAACGCAGGCGGAGGGTGTGGCGGGCGGCGCTGGGGGTTAAGTAGGGATCGCAGGGAGAGGCGGCCGGGCTGGACGTTTGATAGACGCGGAGGGAGACGCGGCGCAGATGTGGTTGAGGTGGCCTAAAGGGGTATGCAAAATGGAGGCAACGGAGGAGGGTGTGTGTTCCCGTGCCGGATGCTCCAGGTGCGGCTGCGGCTGTTCGTGCAGACGTCACACAGCTCACAGCGGAGAGGCGGCAGAGCAGTCCCGTAGGACGCTTGGACGGGGGAGACATGCCCAGATGCCCTTGGCTCTCTCGTCTCTGGCCTGCTGGAGACGCAAGGCTAAGATAAAATTGACCCGACAGGCGTTGCGCGGATAGGAAGGGGTGAGGTGAGGGGACGAATAACGGGTTGGCTAATTGCGAGCAGACCGGGGGCACGCGTACACGACAAGCAAGCCAAAGGCCGCGAAACCGTCCGTCAGGTAGAGAGGGAGAGAGTCTCGGTCTAGACGAGGGGGGTATGGAAGGGGTGAAAGGGTGGACGGGTGGAAGGGAGGGAAGGTTCAGGTACGGCAACGGATCGGGGGTGCAGCAGAGCAGGTGTGCGCTCTCGCAAAAAGGAAGGCGACGCGGCAATCGTCGCAAGGTCAAGGCAACGACGAATCCGCCCGCGGCGGCTGCGTGGCCCCAGGTAGCGTAGCGTAGCGGCGGCGCGGTTGATCTGAACTGATCTGCTGTGTGCTGTGCTGCGCTACGCTGCGGTTGGCTTGCTGGGGCTCCGTACCGTATCCAAGCACCCAAGCTAATGGGCGGTGCCTGACGAGGATGCGATGGGACGGACGGGCCCCCCGTGGTGATGGGGACGCAACCTGAGGTGGGGATGGGGAGTTGCTGCTGTTGCTGCTACTGCTGTGCTGTGCTGTAGTGAATTATGCGGTGGTGCGGTGTCCTGGTGCACTGCTATGAAAAAACCCCCCACAAGGCGAATTGGATGAATTGGATTGACTGATGGATGGAACTTCCATGCCAAGAGCGAACATACGGATCCCTGGATACGCTCTATTTTTTTGCCGGCTCGTCCACCTCACCTCGAGTCAACCAAACAGAGAGCCGCGAGCTGGCAGGCTGTAAATTTCTTCGAAACCAAAACGTACATAGTACGCTTTGCGCCCCGGCGCCGCCGGGATTGAAGATGGGGAGGATGCTTCAGTGTGCTTTCTTATTTGCCCTGCAGTGCGGGTACCTTTGCTCCATGCACAGAAACACAGCTCTCACTGTACCTGAGGTGAGCATCGCCATGTGTCAGTCATGCCCACCTGTCTCCTAGAACCTGGCCGGAAGCGTTACAATGTGGCTCTTTTAATACCAATTGAGTCGTGGTCGAACCAGGACACCCCATCGGCTCGAGGTGCCATCCTTGATCCGGAGAAATCCCTCCATACAGAGTACACTATGTCCATCTGTCCTCTCAGCAAAGGACAAACACAAATGCATCCACAGCCGACAAGATCCAGAAGAGATCAGCGGAACGCCGTCCTCCACGAGGGCACTTCGGACTGCAGGCGCTGTGGTGTGGTAGGCCGGCGCTTCATTGGATGAATCGACAACGTTGCGACACCCCTGGAATTCCCCTACAGACGACGAACCGTTTGATTGCTCAGTGGCATCTGGCGAAGCGATCTCCCCAACTTGCTGCAGGGTCGTCACACGTCCGATGTGACTGACATGTCTGGAATGGCCCGTGTCGTAGCGAAGCAAACCCTTTACGAAGTACTCGTCCGACTTCCATTACTTAAGCGTCGCGTCAAGCCACACCGGGCTTGGTCATCCTGTGGAGACGGGGCGGGTCTCCTGTGAGGCTGGACCCCGAATCATGACGAATGGACCACTGACATGAGATCGCCCCCTTTGGCCTTCAAGATGAGCCTGTCGCAACGTTTTCAATTACACGCGCTTGTCTAGAAATCTCTTCCCGTCCCTTGCACACCTCTATTCTTAAACTCGCGCTGCGTGCTGCATGTCCACATAACAGCCCGCTTCCGGCAGTACCTCCTTGCCTGCCGTCCCTCTCCGTCTCCCGCTCAGCCTCCACGGCGCACCCGTATCTGCTGGCACCACCTCACCCCCCTTGGCTATTGACAGCTCCGGAACCCCTCGCCCACATCCCGATAGCCTTACGCAACGCGACGTCGCCTCAATGCGCAAACCTCTTATGCGCATTCCTTATACGGAACTCTTGGCCCCTCCCACTGTCCGCCCAAGCAACGCAAATACCATCCCGGGTGCTGTCGCGGCCCTCCAGAATTTCTTCACGGCTCCGCCTCCTAAAGACCTGCCGAGGTCGACCGTAGTACTGACTGGGGCGGGCCTGTCCGTGTCCAGTGGGCTCGCCGACTATAGAGGCGTCAATGGCACATATCGTGTGAACAAGACGTACCGTCCGATTTACTACCACGAGTTCCTCGCAAATCACGAAGCCAGGAAACGGTATTGGGCGAGGAGTTTCCTGGGTTGGACGTCGCTTCACAAGGCGTCACCTAACCATGGCCACTATGCGATCCGGGACCTAGGGCAACTGGGCCTGGTCCGCAGCGTCATTACACAAAACGTCGACTCTTTTCACTCAAAAGCTCATCCTGACATTCCGACGTTGGAGCTGCACGGCTACCTGAGATCCACAGTCTGTGTGACTTGCCGGAACGAGTACCCCAGAGACGTCTTCCAAGACGAGCTTGCAAGACTCAACCCCGCCTGGGCTGCCTTCCTCGTCGAGGCTTTGGCCTCTGGGGCTCTCGACACGGAGAACCCTGCCGAGCGCAAGGCCAAGGGCATCAGGACGAACCCCGACGGAGACGTGGACTTGCCGGGCGCGCCTTACACCACCTTTAGATACCCAGCCTGCCCGCACTGCCTTGCGCAGCCGCCCTCCACGCCTGAAGGTAACAAACATGTCATTGAGGTCGACCACGACGGTGCGTGGAAGTCCACCAGCTCGGGGGGATCTTGAAGCCTGCCGTGGTCATGTTTGGCGAGAGTATCGCTGGCGAAGTCAAGACGGCGGCCGAGGAGGCCATTGACGGGGCTGGAAGGCTCCTCATCCTCGGGACGTCGCTGGCCACGTACTCGGCATGGCGGCTGGCAAAGAGGGCGCTGGATCGGGGTATGCCCATCGCCATTGTAAACACGGGAGGCGTGCGAGGCGAAGATCAGATCTCCGCTGTGCCGGACCCGGATCCAACGGGCGCTCTGGGAGTCCGGACTGAAGTGTCCACCGACGTCGTACTCCCAGCGCTGGTCGAGCGGCTCCAACAGATGCCGAGAGGGGGCCGGGCCTGAGCGGAACAGCCCCTAGGGAGAACCACGGCGTGTTCAAAGATATGTTGTCATAGCCCACGAGATGTACCAATTCATAGCGTTTCCATTTGCACCCTAGAAAAAGCTCGACATGCCCCGTGCCGGCGTCTTGACAGCCTCGGGTGCCGCCGTCGGTTGCCGCGCCGCAATCGCCTCGGCCTTGCTCTTTGCTGCGGCCTCCGCCTGCCGCGCCTTTTCCTGCTTCTTTTGACGGGACACGTCCTCGCGCTCGATCTCTTTCAGCACTGGTGACGACTCGTTAGTATCCCCTACGTGGTGTTCGCGTGATGGCAACCTACTCTCTTCCCAGTCCAGCTCCTTCTGAGGGTCGCCGGTGCCCAATGCCTTTTCCACATCAACCGTCTCACCCCTTTGCAGCTTCTCAACAACCTCCCGTAGAACGCTGATGCGCACATCTGCTTGGCGCGAGAAGGCCTCAAACGCCTGCTTCGTCGACAGCATGTTGATGGACATGGAGCCGATGAGCAAAAAGATGACAATGTAAAAGGTCGCCGGGTTCCACTCCTTCTTCCTCTTCGACTTGACCCGCTTGATCATGGGGTCATCGCGGAGCTTCTCCTCTGACCGAAACGGCTTCGGGATGAGGGACTTCCAGAAGTCCAGCTGAGCGACCGTGGGAAGGGAGCTCGCGTGCCGCGCGTGGCGGGAGAGGGGGCGATGGTTAGCTTGCACAAATGCCGCAGCCCGCAGGCACGGCGATGCCGCGAACAGCCGTTGCGTGGCGATTCGTGTCATGCTGGGGGTTCCGGTATTCGCGAGTGGCAAAGGTCGTGATTCTATGTCGCCTTCGTACGAAAGGGCGTCTGGCCTCGAGGAGCAAAAAAGTTCGGGAGCACGTACATCGCGGCTCCTCCAGTCGGAATGGTCCGTGCATCGTTGGACCCTGCTGCACGGACCGAACCGGGATTGCGGTTGCTCCGGGCAACGCCCCGGGGCAGTGTTTAGCGAGACCTGACAACTGCCAACCGCACGCCTAACGGACCTGCATGAAGTCACACCAAACTGCATCTCGAACAACAGCATTGCCCTCATTTGGCCATCTGCCTGTCGAATTTTCTTGGAATGAAGACTTCATGACGATATGCTTATGACCCTGATACACACGACTCCATGACTTCTTTACAAAGCAAAGTAGACGCCGCCAAGGCGGCGGCAGCATCGACCGCGACATGCACATCAGCAACCTCGGTGCTCCTCAAAGACCTTCTCGCGACCGAGGCCGAGAACCCTGCGGGGGCGCAAAAGACGACAGCTAGGACGACGAAAGCAGCGACGATGACACGAGGAAAGCCGACGGGGTCGGCCCGGGCTGGCACGACGGCGAGCCAAAAGGAGGAACTCACGCCAAAGGAAAAGGCGGCCCTGGCGGCGCACATCATCAATGTCGCGCTCAAGTCGCTGACGGAGGCATCGAAGCCTGCACCCGCCGCGCAGCCCACGACACCATGCCGAAGACAAAACTCGGGCGACGACCTACGGAAACCCCCCAGCAAGCGGACCCTGAGACGGTCCAACTCGATGCCGATGACCCCGATGCAGCCACGCTCGCTGAACCGGACCTCGACCTCCCCCATCATGACGCCGAAGCCCGCAAAAACGACAACCACTACGACGGCGCCCGCCATATCTTGTCTCGCCACCGTTGAGTGTTTGCGGACTGCGTTCGCATGCCTGAGATCCCTCCAGACCTCCGGCGCGGTGATGCTTCCAGACCTGCAGCTTGAGAGTGGCATGTCTTCCCTCGTTGGCAAGCTCGTTGGGCTGGGGCTCCAGGAGCACGCGTTGAGGGAGCTGACGGTTCTGAAACGAAGACTCGACGCGATGGGCACTTCGACCAAGGCCAAGGCGAAAGGAGGCAAACCGACCGCGGCGGACACCAAGGTCAAAGGGCTTGCGGAGCTCTTGGACTTTGGCGATGCCAAGTTCTCCGGACCGACTCTTGGTCTTGTCATCACGACTCAGACACATGTCCTGCGTCTCATGTCCGCGACCAAAAAGGCAGCAGTCATAGAAGCGGCGTTGCCGTATATCGTCTCTTCTTGTCCGACATCGCCAACAAACCTCCTCCTGGAATCAGCCAAAGAGTCGGCGCAAGCCAAGACCAAGGCTGCACGGCAGCTTGACCTGCTCTCCCAGTTGCTCCTGTCACTGGCGCCCAGCCTGTCGAGTAAAGATGACGAAGTGGCCGTAGACTCCCGCCTGAGCTGCTCTCCCTCCACCGCTCTGGAACTGCAGGCGCTGGGTCTGGAGGCGCGTTTGCACTGGTGGCCCATGGTCGGCCACAAGGCAGACGTCGACAAGGACATCATTTCGCCACTTTCTAGATGCATCACTTCCTTCATACGCAGAGCCAAATTCGACCCGGTTGGGGCGTACCGAAAATCTTCCGCCGTCTTTGACCGCATCAGTGTCATGACCAAGGCCCAGCGTCTGGAGGCCGCCCTATCGTCAAAATCCCCACTCGCCGTGATCTACCAGGCTTTGGGCACGGTCGCCCAGACTGCTCGGTTGTACAAGGAATCGGCCGAGTGGATCTCCAAGGTCAAGGGAACCCTGGACCCTGCGAGCGACTCGGCAGCGAAGTGTTGTGCGGTCGCTGCGCAGCTTGTGGCTGTCTACGCGAAACAGACACCGTTACCTCAAGAACAGCTGTCGACGCTCCTGAAGGAAGTCACTGATGCACTTCAGGCATCGCTCAAAGGCGACGTGACGGAGTTGGAGGAGCTCATGGTCAACCTGTCTGCTGCCCGTAGATCGGTGGTCGGCATCTTGGCCAGCAAGACTACTGACACGTCCGACAACCTTGACGAACTATTAAACAATCTCGTACTTCAGTTCCCCCGGTTCGCCATCCGATGGCTCGGGAAAGCGCCGACAAGAGACGCCTCGCCGAAAGAACACGTGCGCCACGAGTCGAGGAGACAAATCCTGCTTGCATCCGTTTCCCAAATCCTAGATTCGGCCTTGATGGTTGCCAAATCACACATCGACAATGACAAGATGACCTGGGGATCGCTCGATGCCCTTCTCCAGGAGTGTCTCATGCTGCTCGAATCTATGGGCGACATCAGCGCCGCCGGCTCCAAAGCAGACGCTGCAAGCTCCCACCACGTCAAACTTTCGCACCTCTACTTTATGTTCTTCCACTGGTACCGCCGCAATGCCGAAAACAAGCCCGGCGACAAGACACTCCTTCGGCCCTGAGACGGTCCGTTGATTGCGTCAAGGACAGATCCCCCGAGGAAAAGGAGAAGGCGCAGACGACAGCGAAGCTCGAGTACTTTGCGGACCTCTGTGAACGAGCTGGTAGGGTCAACGACGCCCGAGACGCGCTCAAGCTCATCTGCACGAACATGGTGGAGGACGGCGTCCTAGCTACCGTGGCAGCCTCGCTATCGGAGAAGTCGCCAGCCGTGGCCTGGAGCGCAAGTGTCAAGGCGGAGACGCTGTCGAGGACCCTGGGAGCCATGGTCAAGCTCGACCAGTCCTGGAACGACTGGACATTCTTCCTCGCGGACGTTGAGCGAGCAGCGGTCTTGGAGCGCATCATCCAGCTCATCCTATCCGATTCGTCCGGCGACTCGAAACCCAGCGACATCAAAGACCCGGTGGAGGAAGCCCTCCTGAGGATCTACTCGCCCGACCGTTTTCCGATTCGCCGCCTCCGCACTCTGTCTCAGCTGCTGACCATGGCCATCGGCAACCGGGACGAGTTCCAAAGCCTCCGTGAACAAACCGAAGCAGCTCTGCAACTGTGCCGGGACCAGACCTTTGGCGAGGACGGCGGTCTGGCCTCTTACGTCCCTGACCTGGAGGCTGGTCTTTCGTCTACTCTGGCCCTGGTCGCATCGGAGACCGAATGGCGGGCGGCCGACTTTGAAAAGTCAATCAGCGTCTGGCGCGCCCTCGTCAACGACTGCCAAACCAAGGACGAGCTCCTGACCAAGATAAATGACGCAGAGGGGCTTCTCAGGCAGCTCAACGCGGTCGCCGAGTATGCGAAGCTCCGGGGCGAGGATGAGTTCCTGCTCTCTGTCTTGACACTATCGGCCGATGTCTCGTCCAAGCTGTCCGACTCGTCAACAGACTTGCTCGTCCAGGCGCACAGCAACCTTGCAGACCAGTACACTCACCTCGGCTACTCCGAGAAGGCTGAGGAAATCCTCAACAAGGCCAAGCAGTTTGTCGAGTCCACGGGTAGCAGCCCCGATCTCGCTGCGGTCAACCTCCACATCTCCTTCACAGAGTACCAGCTGGCGAACCAGAACTCTGATGCTGCGTAAGTTTTCCCGCCCCGAAGTGAGGACCCACATCTAACACGACGTAGTCACAAGATGCTCCTGCAAGGCGAGGTCGCCTTCGAAAAGGCTTCTTCTGCTATTCGAAAAGCGCCAAAGCTCCAGAGGAAGCTCCTTCTGGCAAGGGCCGCGTGCCTGTCTTCTCGCATCAAGTGGGACAAGGGCGAATACCAGCATGCGTTGTTCCACGCAAAGACCAGCGTTCGCATCTTGTACCAGGACTGGACCAAGCTGGAGGCTCGCTGGCAGAAGGCGCCAAGGAAAGAGTACAAGCAGACCTCCAGGCAAGGCTCGCCTGACGCCGAGGAAAGCATCATCAAGACGGAGCCCTCCACGGATCGGATTGAGCTGTCCGACGGCCCCGACAACTGGGCTCTTGCTTGCGGCCTGCTGAGGGCCGTCTTGCATCTGTCCTCTGTGTACGCCCATTTGGGAATGTTCCAGGAGACGGTGTATTACGCAGAAAAAGCACACCAGATCGCAAACTCGACGAACGCCTCAATCCACAGGGCTCAAGCGGCTAGCTGGATTGGTTCGGTATGGATCAAGGCCTGCAAGCTCGACAAAAGCATTGGCTACCTGAACGAGGCAAGACAACTCATGGCCACGGCCGTCAAGCCCACACGCCAAGCGTTCCAGCTGGCCTGCGAGCTCAGTGCCTCGTTCGGGGAGATGAAGGACCACGAAAACGAGCATCTGCTACTCGAGCTCGCCGAGGTCACGCTCGGCACATTAAACAACAGCAACCGCGGCGCCATCACCGGGGTCAGCGATGAGCAGGTCGTCACTAAGATGGCGAAGCTCACGCTCAAGGCCCCGGCAGCAACCAGAAGAACTAGAGCCACCAAGGCAGCGACTCCGGCAGCGACCAGAACGACAAGAAGGGCTGCGGCCCCGAAGACCAAAACCGCCGCGCCATCCAAGGCTGTGGTCGTCGCCTCGAACGACAAGACATCCGACCTGAGGGCCTCGATGCTGATGTACAAGGCCCTCGTCCACCTTAGCAAGGGGGACTGGGCAGCCGCGGCATCGCTCCTCGAGGAGGCGAAGCAGATGTCCAGCAGCTTGCGGGAGTCTCTGCGAGTGCAGATTGGCGAAGCGATCTGCCTCATCGAGCAGGGCACCAAGCAGATGGAGGGCGACTCTGTCTTCTCCGTGGTGAAGGAGTCAACAATCTCCTACCCCTCAGTCCACGCGGTGCCCGACAAGAACAACACGGAAAAGACGTCGCCGACGGGCCACTCGCCTCGCAAGGCCCAGGGTCGCGCCGCCTCCGCCGAGCGAAAGGCGTCAAAGGACAACGCCACCTTTGTCGAGACGTTGGAACAAGCGCAGACCCAGCTGATGGAAGCCCAGGCCGCCGCCGCTGTTTCAGGAAACGGGCACCTGGTTCATCGCATCTCGGCGCTGCTCCAGAGCACCGGCATATTCTTATCAGCGGCCTCCCAGCGTGTGCCTAAAAACATGGGAAGCTTTGGATACGCCACCTGCTCCGTCGAGTTCGCGCGGAACCTGACGTGGAAGCGGGAGCGCAACACCGTCCTGACGGAACAGCTCAACCCCAGCTTCAGCGAGATGGGGTGGCCGCTGGCTCTATCGGTCAAGGATGACAGGCGCGCGAGCATCATCACCGTCGACGACATGACGAGGTTCCAGCGTGACTACGTCGACATCATCCCCGGGTCGTGGAGCGTCTTGTCGATCTCGCTCAGCGACAATCGCAAGGATCTCTGCATCACCAAGTTGCGGGCGGGCCAGACCCCCTTTGTTCTGCGGCTGCCGCTCGAGCGCGTGGCCTCTCGGGACGGCGAGGACGAGCTGTTCGACTTCCAGCACGGATACGCCGAGCTCATGGACATCATCAAGGCAACCAACGCAAGCTGTCACAATGCGGGCGACTACACGGCCAAGGGGGCAAAGTCGGCCTGGTGGGCCCAGCGCGAGAACCTGGACAACAGGTTCAAGGACCTCCTCGACAACGTTGAGCAAATCTGGCTGGGCGGGTTCAAGGGCATTTTCTCCCAACACCGCCACCGCGCCGACCTCCTCACCAAGTTTCAAAAAGCCTTTTCTAAGATCCTCGACAAGCATCTCCCATCGCGCAGGCAAGTCCGAGGGAAGAAGACGAGCAAGACCCCCAAGATTGCCCTGGAGCCGCGGATCCTCGACCTGTTTGTTGGTCTCGGCGACCCGTCGGTGCCGGACAGCGATCTCGAGGAGCCCCTGAACGACCTGCTGTACTTTGTCGTGGACATTTTGCAATTTCACGGCGAGAGGAACGCATACGACGAGATCGACTTCGACTCGATGGTCTTGGACACCTTTGATGCCCTTCAAGCATACCACACCGCGGCCAAGACCTCGGACCCTGAGGACGGCGCCCACAGCATCCTGATTCTCGACAAGGCCCTCCACGCCTTTCCCTGGGAATCGCTTCCGTGCATGGAGGGGCTAGCCTACTCCCGCGTGCCCTCGCTGTCCTGCCTCCGCAGACTGCTCCTCGAGCAACGGGCCGCTCGGGGCCAGGACGAGGACGCCGAGGACCGCCGACAGACGGTGTCTCCCCTCGGCGGCACGTACATCCTCAACCCCGGTTCGGACCTCAAGAACACGCTCGCCACTTTTGAGAAGCCCCTGAAGGCCCTCGGCGACTCCTGGACAGGCATCGTGTCACGCAACCCGACCGAGGACGAGTTCGAGGGGGCGCTCAAGGGCTCGGACATTGTCCTTTACTTTGGCCACGGCAGCGGCGCGCAGTACATTCGCGGCAAGACCATCAGGCGGCTCGAGAAGTGCAAGGCGGCGGCGCTCCTCATGGGGTGCAGCTCGGCGTCGCTCCAGAACGTCGGCGAATACGAGTGCCACGGCCCGGTGTGGAACTACATGCTGGCGGGGTGTCCCGCCGTCGTGGGGACGCTGTGGGACGTGACGGACAAGGACATTGACCGGTACGCCGGCCGCTTGTTCGAGGAGTGGGGGCTCCTGGATAGGGGCACCTTTGCGGACGATGGCGGAAAGCAGGGCAAGGCGGCCAAGGGCAAGGGCAAGGGCCTGTTTGCTGCGGAGAAGAAGGGAAAGGGAGGCGGGAAGAAGACGACGGCGACGAACCCCACCGAGGGCGAGGGTCCCAGAGGGGGCGCCTCGCTCGTGGAAGCCGTCGCCAGGGCTAGGGACGCCTGCCGATTCAGGTACATCACGGCGGGCGCGGTGTGCGTGTACGGCATCCCTGTGTATGTTGGCAAGGCCAAGGTCAGCGGCGCGTGAGACGGGGAGTGGAGGTGTGTGTGTACATGGAAAAGGGGGGGGGAGGAGTGGAACACAGCATCCTTGGGGAAAGGAGAAAGGAGGGAAGCAAGATGTTCTCTTTTTGGTTCGACAGGCAGCATCGCATGAACTTGGGGAGTTGGATGAACGTGTTTTGGTTATGCTGCTGTCATCATAGCAGTGGCAAAGTATCAGGGGTCAAGCGGCATTGGGGAGGTTGGGATCGCCTCTTGCTTGGTCTAGGGGAGTTTACGGAGTCTACACTGTACTGTACTGGGTGGGATGTGGGGGGTTTAGAGAGCGTGTTTTGATAACGTCAAGCAGAGGGTTATACCAACAGAGTTTTTCTCCTCTTCATCTCCTTTCTCGAAGGGTTGTCTGTCGTTCAGTGACCCCCCTGACGTGACGCGGGGTGGGACGGAGATGAAGATTGTCTTGTCCTTGATGCGTCCATCTGGTATGGGTCGTGGAGCACAGGAAGGAGGCAGTGGTGCTGGGAGATGGAAATGGATCACGCCCCGAGGCAAGCCAGGTTGGGCAGTCAAGCATGTGAAGAGCCGTCGAGGGGAGGAGGGGCTTTCTCGTGTTGACGGGGCTTTAGACTGGGCTGGGCCGGGCCAGACTAGGCGCGACATTGCCTGCTTGCCATAGCTGCTCGCGATATCGGGCCCTGTCTGGCGTCTTTCTCCATTCACCCTCCAGGCGAAGAGGACCCAATAAACCTCTGAAGGTGGTCTTTCTGGAAAGGGGCACGAATAATGGCAAAACAGGGAAGATGATGGAAGAGCAAGGTAGGGCGACCAAGGGGCGGTGTCTGGACATTTGCATCAACGGGACTGACTAGTCGAGGGGATCGAGTGAGTTTGTTGGTTGGCTGTGAGACGCTGGGAATGGGGACGTGGGAGATTGCAAAGGGAATGATTTGGCTCGTGGCGTCCTATGCTTGGTTCAAACACGGATGGGACGACAGGAGTAGGTCCGAATGGGCCGTTATGATTCACGACGGGGTGATGGAACGGTGTAGGTTGTCGAGGCCACAGCGTGGGGTGTTCTTTTGCTCGCTGGACCAGGGCCGGCGAGGTTTTCCCTACTTGACGTATGCCATTGCTGGCGACTCGTCGAGGTTTCGAGCAGCGAGAATGGGAGCGCGGGTAGAATGCTGCGGAATATAGGGACCAGGCCTAGGATTGCGAGAGCGAGCGGCTCGGTTGTGTCTGAGGTGATCTCATCCGGACGACTGTGATGCCAGAAGCTTGGTACCGTAGAGAGGTGCAGAGGACACCGGGGTAGCAGAGCAGTGGCTTCTGGTGTTTCTGTTCCCGTGTGCCTTGGGGACAGGGAGACAAGGAAACGAGGAGGCGGCGTCGAGTTTTGACCATCTGGCATGCAGCTTTGGCAAGCTAGTTGTCAAACTAGCGGCCTTGCGGTGTAAATATGAGATATGATGACGGAGATGGGGGAGAGAGCAAGACTGAAAAGGACGCATGGTGAGCCGATATCCATCCATTCGGGGCCACGGGCGCCGGGGTTTCGAGATATCTGCTCTACAAGTGTATCACGAGGCTCCCATTGATGAGTGGCTGCGCCCCTCGGTTGGACATTTCCAGTTCCATGGTTTCGTTTCCGGGCAAGCCTGGTCGAGGCAGAACGGCCGGCATAATGGCAAGAATATTCTTAATTCTAGATCTCGTGGGAAGCGAGAGCTCCGATCTGATGTGGTATTCATCGTCAGAGCAAGTCGAGCTTAGCGAGTTTGGAAAGCTGGATGGGGACGGGACAACCGACGTCTTCGAGCTTCTTCCTGTACACGAACCCGTGTTTGACAATGGACCCGATCCCCGATGCGGTGTTATTGTCCGCAACAGTGAAAGTTGTGATGTCAGATGGGAGGCGAAGGAGGTCTATCTGACCCCTGTCACTGGGCTCAGAAGGATGCTCCTCTTCATTGGCGGCTCTATATATTCCTGTTTAAGATAACATCGTACCCTTGGAAACGCCTCTTCTTGAGAGGGTTCTTACGCAGCGTCGGGGGCAACCCGAGACGGTGAAAGGGGGGCTCAGCATCTAGACTCGTCATTTCTTTCCCGATTAGGTCTTGCAAGGCCTCCAGGAGTATGGCCTCCCCGAACAGCGACGTGACCCAGTCCTCCGTTCTCACGGACGTTGCTCGTGCGGCGGTCCACACGACCCCTGCCAGGCCGGATTGCGAAATGGAGTTGCAGCCGGGTCGGTGAGCAACAATGATGGGCGGGCGGGATCTGGGCGACGGTGGTGTTTGGTGGCGTCATGTTGGTTGTCAGTCAGGGCCGGGGGCCCTGGAGGCTGAAAGTGGTGGAGGCTATATCGACGTCGGTATGGGTAGCCTGAAGAAGCCTCTGTGCCTCGCATTCAGCGCCGAATCTCGAGGTAAGGCCCTCCATAGGCGCCGCGGGCTCGACGCCCGGTATTCCGGGGGCGCCTACGCCTAGCACCTACGTCGACGGCGTGCCCGTGACAGCGTGGCCATGTGAATATGTGCATGGGAAGCATCTGTGCGCATCCACGTCAGGAGGCAGCCCGTCAGAGGGGGCGGCAAGATACTTCCTTCATCCTCGAAGCGGTACTTTCCAGAGGTCGACAGCAAGCGCAGCCACAAGACAGCTTGGAGAAAGAATGAAACAATTGTCTTGTAACGCTTTGGGACGTCTTCCATTAGCCCAGGCACTTGCAGGAAATGCGAATAGACAGGCGTACTAAAGATAGAGCAGATGGCGAGCAGCAGCCGGGGAACGGCAAGGGTTGTTTCCCATTTATTTTCTTTTGTCACGCTTGCTCCGCTTCTTGGACGGGGACACGTTCCTGAAAGAGAGGGCCAAGGGGCAAGAAGGGCTTTGGTGAAGAATCATCGACGAGCCTCTTGATCCTTTGCGGTCTCACCGTAACTCGTCCCCACGGCGGGCGCCATGTGCGGTTGTTGGCTAGCTGTGTTCCGGGAGTCCTCCGAAACGCGGCGGGCGGCTGCGGACAAGACGGCGCGGAAGCTGGTGGCCTGGCGTCTGCTTGCTGGGACTCTGAAGGGCCGGTCGCCTTTGCTTGTTTCGCGCCTCCGTCTGAAGCCCCTCCGCCAAAGCCGTAGGAGGGGCATTCGCACATTTGTCCATCGTGGTGCAGATCAAGACACATCCGTGGTTATGGTGTCCATGTGACGAGCCAGTCGTATCTTTGGACGAGCCGATTAATGGGGCAGAGGGGGGCTTTTGCGGGAGAGACTGAGGATGACAGGGAAATGGATGGGGACCAGAGACGCTTGATGGGTGTGAGGCGGCGAAGAGGAGGGCGTGTGATGGGAAGCTGTTTCCCAGGCTGGTAACGAAACGTCGCGTATCCCTACACAAGGCAGGGTGCCGACGGGAACGGCGCGTATAATTCGTCAATGCCATGGGGCAAGAGTGGGCTCGGCCTGGGAGCGGACGGGCCACAATACGACAGATGCACGCTCGAACGCTACATAGTAGATTGCACCGAGAAAACGCGCCGTTCATGCCAGTAGATGAAGGTTGCCGCTGTACTGGCAGGGCCATGTCATAAGGTAGGGCAAACAACCAGCAAGCACTGAACACAATTTCTGGCCACCAGGACGAAGACCGTTTGGTACATTGGTGATGACTTAGTAAGGATGGCCAAGACCTCTTCATCTCCTCTCAAACCAAGCAAGCGTCTTCTCTAACCTTTAACCTTCGCCCCTCTGCAGACACCGCAAAGAGAAGCGCCGCTGACCAGTCCCGGTGAGAGTTCGACGTCGAACCCCACCGCCGGGGTGTCCTGACAAAGCCCTTCATCGCACGGTGATCCCCCCGCAACCTCTGCACCTTGTGCCCGGATACCTAGTACTGGTGAGAGAGGCTGACGGGGAAGTGTTGGAGACTAATGCCCACCGGAGGGCACATCCTGCCCCAGAACTCCAAGGTCGTCCCTTCAATCAACGCCAAGGTCACGTAGACTGTTCAACGACAGTGTGACTTGACCCCTGGACGCAAGAGGCAGCCCCTCGCCCAAGAGATCGAGAGGGGAAACGACGGCAGCGCTCCGAGCGTCATTGTCAGGGACCTTTGGGTTCCTATTCGTCGTCTTCCCTGCTGTCAGAGCGGGAGAAGGGAGAGAGGTTTGGCCTTGCTTCCATGCAGCTCTGCGTCCATACTTGCCCGTCGTCCGAATTTAGCCAGAACCCCATTTGCCATATTGTCTGCTTTGCTCTTGTGACTGACAGCTACACCGGTCCGCCAGATGCTCGTGTTGCGTTGCGTTGCGCCAGGGGCAGTTCTGCTCCTCTTCCTATGCAATCAGCATAAGTCTGCCAGAACGCAAGGTGACTCACGATGCAAGTCCGCGGGACCAGTGTCGACACGTGACGGTGTACGGTGTACGTGGCACGCGCGCCGGCCCTTTCGGGTCTTGTAGAAGCCACTTGCGTACATCGTGAAAGCCCGTTCTGAAAACCAAGTGCTGCGCTTTAGGTTACACGAATCGATACGGCAGCTGACATTTCGGTGGCGGCACTCGGCTTTGAGAACTGATGCGCGCCTCGCATGCAGTAGCGTCTTGGAATCCTGAGCATATGTGGTTTTCGTTGGCGCGCCGCGAGAGTGCAATATGGTTCAAATCTGTAGCGGCCGGGCGGCCGGCAGGAGCTGCTCGTTCGAAACTTGTCTTGCCGTGCCACCCACCGGCTGCGCAAGCTCGAGGAAGCTCGACTGCGCGGCGTTTGCTTTCGAGGGTCAGTTTTTGTCATCAGTAACAAAAGGACCACCGCTAGGCGTAAATGAAAAGGGCTGGTCATCCTGGTCACTTGCGCCTGGGCGTTGGAGGCCATCGTGGATAAGCATAGCATGGGGTCCTGAATGTCACTCTCTGGGGGAGTCAGAGACGAGGCGACGGAGATCATCCGGCCGGGGTGGTGGGAGACATACATGGCTCGACACGTAGTGTACATGATCACGCTCGCTGTTGCATCCCCGGTTGACGAGCTGGTCCCGAGCGACCTGCTGTATAGCCAATGGTGTAATTACCCAAGCAACGACAAGGAGTGGGGCAGCTGGGGAGGCGCGGTGACTGGTGCGCGGGATGGTATGATACGTACGCGACGAGATGAGATTTGCGAAAAAAGCTCCGAGATACATGATTGATCTGTTTGATGAAATCAGCAATGCTACCTCAAAAGAGGGGGCGTGGACATACAAGCGTACCAGGCAGACTGGCGGTGTCAACAAACTGTTGACAACTTGCACGCGTTTTACCCTGGCCAAGTGGCTGCTTGTACTAGTATTTGCTGGGATTCGTGTCAAAATTTCCCCATCCTACGAATGCTACTATAGTAGTAGTAGCTTCTGGAGCAAGGTGGCGATGTTTACGAGTGCGAGGTTGGTGTGTGACTTCCTCGCCATCAGCCTTCAGAGGTAACGGAAGACCGTGGCAGGCGAGTAAGTACAAGACTTGTCACTAGCCCGGAAGATGCCGTCAAAAGATGCGGAGCATCCCTCCGGAGCACTGTCGTCGTCGTCGTCGTCGTCGTCGTCGTGGCCTGCCAGTGATCCTCGGTCAACTATAATGACTTTAACCATGTCAACCCGGGCAGTGCGGCGGCGATTGCTCAATTGGGATGCTTCCCGGTCGTAATGCATTGTCCTGACGGAGACAAGAGCGGGAAAGGTCACAGGCCGCCTCGGAATACGCCCCCGGGTTGTTCAAGGTTATTTCATCGACTTCGATTCCACCCCCACGGCTGAACCCAGATGGCTGAAGTCGAGAACCCCCCTCAGCAGTGACCTGCCGTAGACGACGCAGCTCGTAAGATACAGGACGCTGGAAGAGGGAAGAAGAAAAAGCATATTGATTCGCGCCGTCAGGGGTCCTAGGAAGGGATGGGAGGGTTAACACGCTGGCGTTAAGACGGGTCTCAGGCACGGAGAGTGGGTATGAAACCGGAGGAGGTTCTGGGGTGAATCCCAGTGATTGCCTTGCCGCCTCCGAGGGCTGTCGAACGTGAGTACCTATGTGTTGATCTTGGGTTACTCTTGGTGGTGGAAGGGCGTGGGTAGGTAGGCTTTTGCTTTTGTCTGAAGTCGGACTTCCTTGTGATTAAGAGCCAAGTTAAGAATAGTCGTGGCGTAACAAGGGCAGTTCCACCCCTTCTCCTGGTTGACATTTGACGTTCTGGCTGACGGCGTGTCAAACTCAACCAAGCATGTTGAACCAAAACCGCGTCCCGTACCCTGGGGAGGCCATTTGCCGGGGTTGAGACCGTTCATGCGATTCAGCATGGAACATATGGAAGAAAAGGCCTGATGATGCTTGGCGGTTGTTGATGAGAACCTCCGACAGCATCTGAAGGGAGATCAACCAAGCCAGGAAGATGAGTATGAAGCTGAGGGAGACTGGGGGGATGGACCAAGCGACGACGCCTATTTGGATGGGGGTTGTGATGAGAGGCAAAGCAGGAGCACAGAGGGCAGTCAAATGGGGAATGTGGATGGAGCAAAGGACGACGAAGAATGGATTGCGGGGCCCTCGAGCCAATTAGCCTGTAGTATGGGATCAGTCAATGCTAGACCAGACGGGAGAAGCAAAATGTCTCTTGTATGCCGTGTGTTCTGTGCGACTCCAATGTCTTCACTGAAGCGTGGTGTTTTGGAAGGAAGAACGAGACCAAGGGGGAGCTTGGATCCCAACCGATGCAGGTACAGAGGTACATGCCGCTGCGCGTCACATGGACAGGCTAGATGCTGAGAGAGGTGTGACACATTGCGGCAGGTAGGTCCTTGCTCTCTCAATGCTTCGTAAGAACCTATAGTTTGCATCCGGGAATCTTAGTCATGGCGCCGCCCCTTGACCGATTAAACGAGGCAAATTCCCTAATGACTCTCTCAACCATTGAGTCTGGACAACGGGTGTCGAGCGATTTTCCGATATTGGACCGGGTTTTAGGCCAATACGATGGCTCAGGTATGAACGAAGGGGAAAAGCCAGGAGTCGAGGATGAGCCGGGCGCCACAATCAAACCTGACCAGCGGGCACGGACAATGCCAGGAACGCATTCAGTGGGAAGACGGCGTGCGATATTCCCTACTTGTTCCTCCAATTGTTTGACCCCAAGTCCGCAAAGAGTTCAAGCTGCTGAGATGGAAAGGCTTCCAGGCTTGCGTGGCTGATAGACTAGCACCACCAAGCAACAGATCTCACGCGCCCTTGTAGCGTGGCCAGTCTTAACCAAGTCTGGTCATTGGGCCCGGCAAAGGTCCCCGGGTCTCGCCCTGTCGAACTCAATAGGAGTGCTTCGGCTGGGGTCAAGCCATGTACAGACAGAAGGTCTTGGATGCAGGGCAGGGTTTAAGGCAGCTCAGTCTCAATAGGCCCTTGGTGATCATTCACTGACCGTACGGCTTCTTGTGCCGCATTTTGTGGTGATCTTCCTGCGTGCCGTCTTTGCGGAGTCGCGCTGAGCGGGCCCTGAGACACCTTCTGGAATCTGTACGCCAATGCGAGACAATGACTTGGAGACGAAGCTCTGAACAGACGTCAATGTTTCTCGAGCTCGATGCCCCAAGAATGTCTTGATTTGAGTGAAGTTATAGGATTAGTGAAATCATGAGGCTGGCGCAAGGGTTTGGTTGTCTTTGTTCTCCCACGCCCCTTCGTGCCTTCCACGAGGACCGACTCTTAGTTTGACCACACCTGCACCATGGCGGCCTTTCCTCAATGGAAGGCAAAGACAGCATGTGTGTGTATGTACCTACCTCGTTCAACAGGACCCTCCTCGTCTCCATCCTTACCTAATCAAACTTCGACACCTGATTGACCAATCACAACAGCAGAAACAAAAGCGACTAGCTGGGGTGGGTTTTGGTTCTAGCGCGGGCCCTCCACACTCACCACGGCTTTGCTGTCGCGCAGGCTGCTGCACCCTCACCTCGTCCTCCTATCATCGCTCAGACATATCACGATCTACCACCTCCAAGCCCACCACCCTGTCTTTCTTCAGCTTGCCAACCCCGAATTTCGACCGTTCGAGATGGCCGCCACCTGTGAGGAATCGACACCCCTCGTTCCCCGTGGCCCCCAAATCTCCAAAACCCCATGTCGCCTATTCATCATCATCAGAGCTTTGATTCTGCATCGACATGGGTGGAAGTTACATCATCCCTAATTCAGCTGAATGACGTCCTTTTCACCATCTTGGCCTCTCATCCCTCAGTAAGATCACCCTTCGTTCCCACCCCGAACTGAGATGAATGCTGGGGTACACCGGTAGAGTCGTCGAAAGAAGAGCCAAGCACCAAGGTCCCAGGCACTGCACTTTCCAGTATGCCATCCCACCCCAGTTCCACAATCCAACTTTGGCCAAACAAAGCGCCCAGCCCAACCGCCTACACCTACGCCCCAGTGCGTCGGCGCCGCTGAAACCCAAGCTACATGGCGTCCTCGCCAGATTTCGCGCTTGTCTGCTGTTGAATATCGATAGAGTTCAATCCACGTCTTGCCCTAACATGGGATTCCGCGACAGGGGTCGTAGTCGGACGCCATACCGTACAGATGCGGTTGCCATTCGAGAGCCCAACACATTCGACAACACACCTGCAGCAGATAAGGGCCCCAGGGCTGTAGGGTGGTCTGGGCTGGCCCCGACAAACACGGATCATGGCCAGACCGACGCGAGCTCGCCGCAGCCGCTCCTGGCCCGTATCCGGGGTCCCTAGGCCGCCTGCGACCGTTCCTGGTGGAACCTACTGCCGAATAGCTTCGCAACAAGCCATGGCAGCTCGACGGCCCTCTCTTTGGCGTGTCCTAGAAGACACCCTCCTACGAACAACAGGCCCGGCACTGGTATGCCCGTGAGGATGTCACTGCATTCCCAAGGTCTTAGACGCCGCGGTGGGGGTACCGCGGGGTTGACTTCATCACCCAACCAGCTTCGAGTGTCCTGCTTGGAATGCACCTTTGCCGTGAACACACATGACCGACAGATCACCTGAAGGCTGGAGGACGTTTGTGTTGTTCTCAAAACACCATGCACAGAACTACGAGTGCGATTCCAACTCTATATTCAAGACCAATGTTGGCACGCTTGCGACGTCCTGGAGGCTCAAACAATGACGGTCGAGTCAAGGTGCGCGATGTCCCTGAATAGCAACACCAATACCAATTAGAAATAGCAAGATGCAAGACGGAGCCCCTCCGAATGGCATTGCAGTCTGGATTGAGGGAGGGCTTGCTGCATGCTTTGCGAGCCTCGCGGACGGGATCACCGTGCGGTCGGACGATTGTCTTGCTGGGCCCATTTTGTATCCTTGCCTCCATGCCTTGCTGCTCAGTAGAACCACTAATGGCTCACCAGGAACATTGCATCCGCTTGGCATCTCATCTGAGTACGGCGTACATACCTACTCGCACCGGGAGATGGCTTTAGTCGAGGACCCACCAAACTTCCGGCCCTTCACTTTCTTCCGCGATCCATTCCTGATGAGGCGCGTCCTCCAGGGCTCTTTCGACTGCATGTACCTGTAGTTGCCTCCACTTGCTACGCCTCCCCGGTTCTCCCGTCCACTTCGTGTCTCTGTACCCTCTCTGCACTGCACTGCCATCGTGGGTCTTGTGGCCGGGACGCATAGCAAGCGTCTCCTCCGCGTCGACCACTAGAGCCGAGAGGCAGCTCCACCTGGCCGGAGAGGGCGAAGGAAAGCAGAGTCCTGGGGAGTTCTCGTGGGCAAGGAAGCAGAGCGCGAAGACGGTACTGCAAGGAGTGTTAGCTGCTCTCGAAGCCCTGGCCCAGGCGCCATGCACGTGTAGGGCCGCCGCGTGCTGTGACGGTCATCTTGTTGATTGCTGTCAATTTTCTAGCATATAGGATGTCGAGTCAGTCCAGCAGCTTTATGTGTGCACTCGCTACAATGACCCCAATTGCAGACGTACAGCAACAGCATGCCGCTTGGTTTCGAATATCGGGATGCACCATTCAGATCCAGCGGAAAGGAAGACGAGCTTGGAGGATACTGCTCCGATGACGCCAGTCTGGCGAGCATGTCCGTACCCTCAACAGGAGGGTACCGGGCCAAGCTTTCTTTTTTTTTTCCCTTGCTGCCGCGCCTCCTTCACATCACAGCGCCAGTAGACCCAGCAATGTATGTCTGACTTCGCGGGACCTTGTTCGTTCCCCTATGTCCCATGTTTACATCCTCAGGGCCTGCTGCACAATGGTCTCCTTTCGTAGTGTACAGACGTTCATAACACAGACCACAGGGACCAGGTTTGATTTTAGTTTTTGTGGCCTGCACTTGCACCCACTTCAACCCTGGCTGCCAGACTTGCTACCCATCCCCGTCGCGCCTAGGATCCCAAGTCGGACACTCGTGTGGCACCTCGCGCTCTTCTACCTGTTCTGTTGCGACTCCCTCTACCTACTTCTTCTTTTCATCTTCATCCTTATAAGACCCCACGCCCCTCTTGTCTCTCAGGTACCAACCGAGCTATCCTCTCTCGCAAAGCTTGGCGGATCTTCGATGCATTGCCCGCAAATCCCCAAAGACGTCACAAGCCGTGCAGTTCTATTGTTGTTGGTTCTCTACTAGCTCCCTCGTCCAATCCGTCCTAGGCCAGCACCGAGCCTCGGCCTGAAAGGGAAGAGAGTCTTGCGCCGCCAAAGTTACAGACAGCACCATCTTAGCCCCGGTTAATACTTCTTTCGACGACGTTGGGCATCAGCTCTGCTTCCACCCGGGGTCTTTGACTGTTCCGCTGTGCCGTTCGGGCATCCGACCAGCCGCCACTGCGATCAAGCCACGACGACCGCGACGACAAGGACAACGAGGAACGACAGGTCACCTCATACCCACTCACTCCGCAGGCATAGTAGTGTCCGTCTGCGTCTGGATCACTTAAGGTTCCTGGGCATCCGGTCCCCATCTAGACACCACGAGACGAGGTGAACGAGCGCCTCGCCTCCGCACTAAGACCTGGAGAGGGAGTTCCACTGAGGACTGGGATCACGGTGTAAGCAGAGCCAACGTCGGCCAGCCATTGTCAGCACTGCCAATAGCATCTGTCAGCCGAAACACCCAAAACACCAGAACCACCAGCATCATCAGCACCCGCGACGGGAACCTCACTACCTCAACGCTGGATACACACTGTCCGCCCTACCTGCGGGCTCAGAGGCTTGTCACTCGGCTCAGCGAGTGAGCGAGTAGATGCCCTGTGACGAAGCGTGAAAACAGAGAAGCACTTGTCTCTGCATGGAACTCGCGCAGACGACCTAGGTCCTCCGTTCTACACTACGGACACACAGCGCACACGCTACGACAGCCCAGCCTAACCCCCCCGGCCGCGTTCCAGCACCGACACGGCACCCCACAATTTCACCGCCGAAAACGCTTGCTTGCTCAGAGAGTTGGAGACGCTCTCGCATGCACGCCTGCGCATCTGCACCACACCTGCACGCCCACTTGGATTGGAGCACAACTGCCCTCTCACGCAATCAGACGCCGTCGATTACCACACGCCCCCCTCGTCACGGCCGCCCCCCTCCACTTTCCCCCTCCCCGGCCGACCATCCTCCTTCCCCCAACCCCAGTTTTTACTGCTGGAGCAAAGCCAGCGACATTCCCCATCTCCTCTTGAAATCGCACATCTGCTCCGCTGATTTGCTTTGGTTTGGTTTTTCTCGGCCTGGACCTCGCTTGACCTGAGGTACACCTGGTCTCGTTCCCCTCGGTCTTTGGTCCTTTTTTTTTTTTTTGGTGCTGCTCTACGAGTGGTCGAGTCAGAACCTATTCTCTGCGACAAATCTCGACGCCTCTTCTCCTCTCCCCGCCCACCCATTCATTCCCTCATCCTCTTCTCTTAAACTTTGTAACACCTGCCGCCGACGAACAGGTTACAAGTCCTCAGCACAACCAGACGAGACGAGACCGCCGACGAGGACGGGGCAAGCGACCGGACTGCTCCTCGCCCCCCAGGACCAGTCTTCGCTGTAATGGTCCTTGCTTGCGACCGCTGTGACCCCCACTACGCCCACACAAGCAATCACACTTACACCGCGGTCCAAAGACATAAACAGGAACAGGGACAACCGCCGTCCTCCAGCACCGGCGTGCGGGGAGCCAGCCCGGGACCGTCTTCTTTCCACAGTCGTCGCCTCTCCGTTGATCTTTCCCTTGTTTCGTGCATGACAAAGGACAATGTCATCTAGTCTGCAGCAGCTCCAAAACCAACAATTCAGAGCTGTCAGTCTCGACTACTCGCAGCACGGCCTGGACTCGCCCGGCGCTCATTCCCATATAACCACTTCCTCGGCCTCCCATCAAGCATTTTCCTCCGGAACCCCAAATGACGGCATGCGGTCCAACAGCGCCGCCCAGAGTCTCGTCGATGCTTCTCATTTTCCCGACGACTTTTCCTTCCCGCCCCACGAACTACACGACCAGAATGCAATGATGTTTCTCGGTGAGCCAGACCATGCTTCCGACATGTTTCCGACGTCGCACCGCCCCTCGGTATCGTCCATGGGTGGCCGCCAAAACTCCATAACCGTCATGCCCGTTCCCTTTGCAAGAGCAACGGACCAGCGACGCCATAGCGTAATCACCTCGGAAGATGGCAGCCAGGACAGCGGCCACGCCGACCGCAATCCCCTGGAAGATGCCGGAGCCGACGAGTTCGGCTTACCCGCGCAGGCGGCCGGCAACGGGGCCGAAATGGGCGGCAAGGCCAAGGACGACAAGACGGACCAGACTCCCGCGTGGAGTGAATTGAAGACCAAGGCCGGCAAAGAACGAAAGCGGCTTCCGCTGGCGTGCATCGCCTGCCGACGCAAGAAGATCCGATGCTCGGGGGAAAAGCCCGCCTGCAAGCACTGCCTGCGCTCCCGGATCCCCTGCGTGTACAAGGTGACGACGAGGAAAGCCGCGCCCAGGACCGACTACATGGCCATGTTGGACAAGAGACTCAAGCGCATGGAGGAGCGCATCATCAAGATCGTCCCGAAAAACGAACAAGACTCGAATGCCGCGTCGCTGACCCGTGCCGTTGTCAAACCGGCAATTCCGGGTACCCTCCCCGCGGCTAAGGCCGGCTCCAAGAAGCGAGCTGCCGACGAAGCCTTCGGCCAGGACCTCGACCACTGGGCGAAAGCACCGGTCAAGACCATGCTTGACGCGTCCAACAAACCAACGTCCCTTCAGGCGCAGGAGGCGGAAGAGAACAAGCTGTTCCTCGAGGGACTCGATGCACTGCCGTCCAAGGAGATTCAGGAACATTTAGCCGAGGTATTTTTCGAGAACATTTACGGCCAAGCGTATCACCTGCTTCACAAACCGAGTTATATGAGAAAGCTCAGGTACGTCTCGTGAGACAGCTTGTGCTAACCAAGGCTGACCAATTCGCAGGGCCGGGACGCTGCCACCCGTTCTCATCTTGTCTGTTTGCGCCATTGCCGCCCGCTTCTCCAGCCACCCTAAGCTTAATAACTCATCACCCAATTTCTTGCGCGGGGAAGAGTGGGCATCACATGCCAGAGACATTTGTACCAGGCGATACGAATGGCCCAACATCACGATCTTGACATGCCTATTAATCCTGGGCCTGCACGAGTTCGGCACCTGTCACGGCGGGAGGAGTTGGGCCCTCGGTGGGCAGGCGATCCGCATGGCGTTCGCTCTTCAACTCCACAAGGACCTGGACCACGATCCGCTCAATCGTAACGGGTCGTCACAGTTGAGCTTCATTGACCGGGAAATTCGGCGGAGGACGATGTGGGCCTGCTTCCTCATGGATCGGTTCAATTCGTCGGGCACAGAACGGCCGACGTTCGTGAGGGAAGAGACCATCGACATACCACTGCCGATCAAGGAGAAGTATTTCCAACTCGACATGCCGGCGCCGACGGAGACGCTCAAGGGCAAAGTGCCCCACCCGGTGTCGGCAGACGATGGCCAAATGGCCGACGCCAAAGACAACATGGGCGTTGCCGCCCACATGATCAAGACGATCGCCCTCTGGGGGAAGGTCATCAACTATCTCAATCAGGGGGGAAAGGAGCTCGACCCCCATCCCATTTGGAGCCCGGAGTCCGAGTACGCCACGCTGCTCCAAGAGGCGGAGAAGCTGCTGGATAACCTCCCCGAGGGTCTGCAATACTCGCCAGAGAACCTGGCGCTCCACGACACGGAAAAAATGGCCAACCAGTTTCTCTTCCTTCACATCGCGATCCATCAAAACATCTTGTTCCTCAACCGTGTCGCCGTGGCAACACCAAACAGCCCCGCAGCCCAAGGTGTTCCCAGGGACTTTGTCACCAAGGCTGGCGACAAGACATTCGCAGCGGCCAACCGCATCTCGGAGATCCTCAAAGACGCCGAGTCCCACATGGTCACGGCCCCCTTTGTCGGATACTGCGCGTTCTCTTCGGGAACCATTCACATCCTCGGCATCTTTTCCGGCACCCCTGCCGTGGAGGCGGCCTCCAAGAAGAACCTGGCAACCAACGTCAAGTTCCTCTCCAAGATGAAGAGGTACTGGGGCATGTTCCACTACATGTCGGAAAACCTTCGTGACCAATACCGGACATACGCCGATGCCGCCCGACAAGGGTCCTCGAGCAAGGAGGCCTCGACGGCCTCTCCCATCTTCCAGTACGGCGACTGGTTTGACCGATACCCCCACGGAGTTTCACAATCCGACTTTTCGGACCCGGCGACGCTGAAGAACAAGGAGAAGGGCGACGACGCCGTCTTGGAGCAGAAGCCCGAGCTGCACACCGTGGAGGAGTACTTTACAAACCTGTCGCCGCCTCGCAGCACCGAGGGCAACTCCTCAAGGCCCAACCCGCTCAAGCGCAAGTCTTTTGCTGGGAAGAAGTTGGGCACGGGCACGAGAGCGGATGGAAGCCGCCCCGAGCCGCTCTCCAACGAGAACATCGCCGTCACCGCGCAAGAGCAGCTGAGTGCTCGCATGCAGCAGCAGAGAGGCATGCGAGGCTCGCTCGGCGGCCAGACCAGCGGCCCAACCAGCTTCAACCCCCTCACCGCAACCCACTCGCAGGGATCCAACTACCATGCCCTCTCGCCCATCAGCCCGATTGCCGTCGGCCAGTTCGGGCACCATCACCCGGGCACGCCGTCGTTCTACTCCCCCGACTTGCTCAACATGTCGTTGAACCAGCAGAACGGGATCCTGCAGCCCTCGACCGGCAGCTTGTCTTTGGCGGGTACTCGATGGAGCAGGGCAACATCAGCCATTTCGACGGCATCGACTGGGACGGCATGCCCTCCAGCGCCCACAGCGCCTCGGGGACGCACCGGGAGGGCGCTCGCTCTCGTACCCAGCGCGGCAACCCCAACGGCATGGGTGGGCCCGTCCCCGGGCACCCAGACAGCATGCCCGGGTATGGGGCTCAAGAGGCATCGACCGCGTGGTTCATGCCGTTCAACATGGAGCCGCCCGAAATCGGCCAGGACATGGGTATAAACATTGACGGGTTTGGCAACATGTTTGGCAGCGGCTTGCATCACGGGGCGCGCTGAAGCGGCTTCGACGTGGCGTGGGACAGTAGGAGCAGGCGCCGGACGTGCCTGTGAGCCACATATCACCTGTACATTCTACATGTCTTGGATTTCTTTTCATGTTTTCTCCTCTACTAATGACTACATGACGGGCAAAAGGACGGAATGGTACCAGGACAGGATAAAAAAAGGGTCTGGCGGGATTTTTACCTTAGCGATTTTGCGATGTACTTTGTGAGATACCTACCATTAATGCCAACAAAACGATGCGATTCACTTTTTGATGGGGGTTTTCACGATGCGTGGCCCGTCTGTGCCAGTCTGTGCCAGTCTGGTGATTCGAGAGGACGAGGGAAACCTGTACATGGTATCGTTGGTGGTCTAAATACAGCTATTTTTCTATGCCCGGAGCCCAATATAACAAAAGAAAAAAAAAGGAGACGTTTACTGGACTGATTTCACATCAGCGACGGCAAAGCGCTATTACCGCTTCACTCCTCCGCGGCGCCCTCGGCCGTCTTCTTCCCCTCGACCTCTTGCGCTTCTTGCTCGAGCCGTCCAGCGCGGCGCCGCCGTCCTCGGCGTTCTCCTCTGCCCGCTCGTCGCCGCCGCCGCCGCCGCCACCGGCCGCGCGCTTCCCCCTCTTCTTGCTCTTCTTCTCCTTGATCTCGACCTCGTCGAGGCCAAACGTCGGGCCGGTGCGCTCGTACTCCTGGCCAAAGTGCTCCCTGCGCCACTGCCGGAGGCGCGCCTTCTTGCCGAGCCGCTTCTTGTCCTTGCGCTTCTTCTCCTCGTCGCGGAAGGTCGCGAGCTTCTTGAGGCCGGCGAAGCTGTTGAGCGCCGCGTCCGAGGGCGCCAGCAGGATGTCGCGCGCCGTCATGCCAAAGGCCTGGGGTGACGTCTCGCGGTACCGGAAGGCCGGCAGCTCCGCGTTGTCCTTGGACGACGAGGGCACGGCGACATCGAGGTCCATCTTTGCGTCGACGAGGGCCTCGAGCTTGGCGCGCTCGGCCTTGGCGGCCTTCTTGGCCTCGAGCCGTTCCTTTTTGAGGTCCTTTGTCGTCTTGCGCTTCTTGGACGGGCGGCCATCTTCGTCTTCGTCGTCGTCGTCTTCTTCTTCTTCCGCGGCGGCGTTGGCTGCCGCTGCCTCGTCGTCTGTGAGGGTGATCTGGGGGTGTTCCGTGTCGTCCTTGAAGTCGGGGATGATGTCCTTGATGTCAATGTCGTCGTCCCACGTGGGCTTCTTGGGCTTCTTCTTCCGCTTCTTCTGGCCGTCGCCGTCCTCCGCGTCCGCGTCCGCGTCCTCGTCCGAGTCAGAGCCGCCGCCCTCGGCCACGGCGTAGTAGTCCTCGCCGAACCGGCGCTTCATCTCGTCCTCCCACTTGTCGTCGTCCCACGCGTCGTTGAGGAAGCGCAGCCACTCCTCGTCCTTGAGCTCCTTGCCGCTGAGGCCCGCGGCGTGCTTGATCTTCTTGAGCTTCTCCTCGGCCTCCTCGAGCTTGAGCTTGCGCAGGCGCGCCTTCTCTTCCTTGCGCTCCTGCTTCTCGGCCTCCTTGCGCTCGCGCTCGGCCTCGCGCTGCTTCTTGCGCGAGCTGGCGGCCTCCTTACGGACGGACCGCGCGCTGACAATCTCACGCGAGTACGTCTTGAGCGCCTGGTTGGCCTTGTCCGGGTCCTCGAAACGCAGGTTGTAGGCCTCCTCGAACTTGTCGTACAGCTCGCCCTCGTCGCCCTCGCCGTCGTCCGACTCGAATGCCTTCCAGTTGTGCTCGCCGCCTCGGTCCACGCGCGCGCCGCCATGAAGTTGGAGAGAAAGAGCTCCGGGTCCTTCTCGGCGTTGGCAATGTCCTCCTCGGTGATCTGCTTCTTGGTCTTCTTCTTGTACGGGTTGACGTTGGCCGCGCGCGCCGGGTGGATGCCCTCGTCGTCGAGGTCCTCCGGCTTGACGGTCTCCTGTCCCGGTTTCCGCTGCACAAAGTCGTCCTCGTTGTCCGACTCCGCGGCCTTGTTGATCTGCGAGATGATGGACTTCTTGAGGGCGTCCTGCTCCTGGTTGTACGTCTGCGGCGGCGGCGGGCCGTCCTCGTCCTCGTCGTCGGAAGCGCCTACGCCTCCGGCGAGAATCTTTTCGCGGTGGTAGTCCTTGAGGAACAACGGCTTCTCCTTCTTCTTCGAGGGCGTCGGCTCGGCGGCGGCGGCGGCGTTGGAGGTTTCCTGGAAGAAGGAAAAGTTCTTGTCGAGCACTCTGGGGTCTTTGTTCTTGATCGCGCTGAGGGTGGCGGAGATCTGGGCGTCTAGGTCCTCCGTCGCGAGGAATCCCTCTTCGTCCTCGGTCTCGTCGGACGACGACGAGTCGGCGTCGGAGTCGTCATCCTTGCCTTTGCCGGTTTTTTTGAACTTTTCCTCCACTGCATCTGTTAGGTGTTGCTCCCGAATACCATGCAGGACGCAATTGGGTCCACTCACGTCTGTGTAGCTCCTCGCGCTTCTTGTTGTGCTCAAACCGCTTCGCATACTCCTCGTTTACCTTCAGCTGCGGCGTCGCAATGTCTGCCCTCCATCTTCGTCGTCTGAGTCGCTGTCGTCCAAAAGGTTGACCTTCTTCGGCACCTTCTCTTTCTTCGACTCGGGCGCCATGATGCCGGTTTCGTTTTTCCCTGGACCGGACGTATGTGCACGAGATTGGGGTGGGCTAAAGAGAGAACTGGAGTCGTGCAAGTCTTTGGGGACCCTCCAGAATTGAAGATCCAAAGGTGGTCAAGGAACTTTTTTTTTCTGCCGCCCGGCAGCTGCTGCACGCCCGTCGCGGGCCCTGCCAGGCGATTGGGATTTTTGGCGGGGACCTGGGCGGATCCCGGCGCATCAATTCTCCGCCACCCCTCTGATCACTGGAGCTGAGAGCAAGAGCATTGGCCAACGCCGGGCGCTGCCTCCTCGGGGGGGCGCTTCGTCATTGTTGCGCCTCATCCTCGTTGTTTCAGTGGCCGAGCTGCCGTCCAACCTGCCACTAACGAAAACCATCCAACCAACCACCCATCGCAAAAGGCAGCAACTTGATTCAACTTCGCCGCCTCGTTCCATCCGAACCGATTTCTCAACCCGTCCTCCCGCCCTACCCACGAATTTCCAAAGAGGCTATCGTTATCGACCTGACCACAGATAAAGATGGACGGATCCGGCGGTGCCCCGAAGCCGAGCAGCAGCGTCAAGCTGGTCCTGCTCGGTGAAGCTGCAGTGGGAAAGGTACGGCCACCATCCGAACTCGGCATCGTGAACTCATGCTAAACGCATCTCAGTCGTCGCTTGTTCTGCGCTTCGTCAACAACGATTTCCAAGAAAACAAGGAGCCAACTATCGGAGGTGCGAAACACTGCCGTCGTAGACTTGTCGTAGAGTCAAGAGCTAACCCGCCGACTCCCTTGCAGCCGCCTTCCTGACACAAAAGTGCAACCTGCCGACCCGAACGATCAAGTTCGAGATCTGGGATACCGCCGGCCAGGAGCGCTTCGCCTCTCTGGCGCCCATGTACTACCGCAACGCCCAAGCCGCCCTCGTCGTCTACGACCTCACGAAGCCGACGTCACTGATCAAGGCCAAGCACTGGGTGGCGGAACTCCAACGACAAGCCTCGCCTGGCATAGTCATTGCCCTCGTCGGCAACAAGCTCGATTTGACAAACAACGCCGAATCCGGCTCCGCCGGCGACAATGAGGAGGCCGATGCGGAGGACTCGGGCGACGCTAGGAAGGTCTCGACAGATGAGGCCAAGACGTACGCCGAGGAGGAGAGCCTGCTCTTCTTCGAGACAAGTGCCAAGACGGGTCACAACGTCACCGAGGTCTTCACGGCGATCGCCAACGCCATCCCGGAGACGTCTCTGAAGAGCGCACGGGGTCCGGGCGCATCGCACGCCGTGAGCCGGGGCGGAGAGGACCAGCAGCGGGTCAGCCTGACGGGCTCTAGGGACGCCGGGGCGAAGGAGGGATGCGCTTGCTGATCGTAGGCTGTCGTACGTATGTGTGCGAGTGTGTGAGAGAGACCTCGGGAGAGAACGACTTGGCGAGGAGGAATTCCTTGTTTTCATCATTTCGGAGTCGTTCAGTTTTTTATGCGCTGCATTTCTGCTACAGGGTTCATTTTATGGGAGCGTCCATTCGGCAGCAACTGGGAAGTTCGTCATGGGTTGGAAGCAGACCCAAAGACGCTCGCAGCCCTTCACTTGCCCACTTTCCGTCGTGTAACATGGTCGTTTTGTACTGGAACGTATTGCAGAAGAAGACATTGGGATGGACGCGGGTCAGTTTGAAACTGATGCTTCGTAGTGCATTATGTAGACGAAATCTCATATACAATCAAGACGATTCACGGTAGCTTTTGTGTCTCACAGCCTTGGATGATGAACCCCCGGTTTCCGCATCGTCGCAGCATGCCAGACTGAATAGGTAACTAGGCAGGTGAGCGAGTAATTCAGCGGGCAGACGAGTGGCCGATCCCAAGCAAGCACTGTAAAACGAGCTGGCCGGTGAGGTGATTGGAGATCCCTGATTGGCCAGCTACCGCCCACGCGTCCCACCTTTTTTCTGGTTCTTCCCGCGCCTCGTCCACCTCAAACTCCTCCGTCACTACAGAATCTTTCTACGACCACCTGCTCTCTTGCGCAAACAAGCCAAACAAAACAACAACGACCAGCCGTCATGACAGTGTCCCGCGCGACACGTTGAAACCCTTTTATCTCCTGTTTCCCCAATAATATCCGGCTGGCGGCAACGCGGCCACTTACGCTCTTCTTTTCAGACCCCTCTTTCGCCCATGTATCCCTCGTCTTGAGCGTCCTTCCTTCTACACCGACGACAGCATGGCTTCGTCAATCACGCCGGCTCAGGCCGAGCTCATCAGGCAAGCTGCAGTTTTTTTTTTTATCTCACTGATTGCTGGGCTAACCTGTGGTCTTTAGCTCGCTCGCACCCGACGACATTCCGATCAAGCTGCGATGCGCCATCTGCAGCAAGCTCGCCGTCAACGCCTTCCGTCTGCCCTGCTGCGAGCAAGCCATTTGCGAGACCTGTCAGTCACGCGACCTCTTGCGTCACCCGTGCGATCAATATCTGACCGATACCCCAGGCCAACACTCCCTACCCTCGTCTTGCCCGGTTTGCGAGCACTCGCCGGTGTCCGCCGATGACTGCACACCGCACAAGTCGCTGCGAACGACGATCAAAGTTTTCCTCCGTACACAAGAAAAGAAGCGCGAGGAAGCGCGGTCCAAGGACGCAAAGGACTCGGCACCGCCTACCCCCGTCGACGTGAAGCCGAATGTGCAGCCAGCTGCCCCCTCCGAGTCCCCGGCCGTCCAAACCCCTTCACAGCCTGCTGCTGCACCCAATGCGCAGGACGAGCATACCGATTCCCAAGTCGCGCCAGCCGCGGACCCAAACACGGACGGGAAAACCGATGCCAGCGCAGCTGCGGCACAGAACAGCAACGTTCGTACCCCGATGATACTCTTGCGGAATAGATCTTGCTGACATGCCTTTCAGGACGCGCCTACCCACGACGAGGAGCCCGTCATCTCTAAGGGAGAGGATGACGATGACGAGACAGTAATCATCACTGGCGACGAGAACGCGGCCAATGGCAACACGAACGCTGAGCAGCAGGAGGGCGATGTTATGGAGAACAATGGTGCCGAAGGCGACGATGCGAATGCGAATGAGAACGCCAACTTTAATGGCATGAATGGAGGCAACTTTTCAAACATGAACTTCGCTGGGAATGGCGACTTCAACCAGATGCAAATGATGATGGCCATGCAGAACGGCATGGGGGCCAACTCCTTTGGCAACTTTCCTATGATGGGTAAGTACCACTCGCAACCATGTCCGCGACCGAAGCTAACCATGTCAGGTATGCCAGGAATGGGTATGGACCCAATGGCGATGCAGAACATGTACATGAACGGCGGCTATGGTCCTCAAGGCATGGGCATGGGAGGCTTCGGCGGTGGTTTCGGCTCAGGCTCCAATAACTGGAACGGGCAACAGTCATGGAATTTCGGCCAAGATAATTTCAATTCTGCTAATGCTGCTGGCATGGGATCTGGTGACTATGGCAACTATAACTCAGGATTCCAGTCAGGGTACAATCAAGGTAATTACGGCCACCAATTCAATGATTACCGCCGCAACAACTACGGCAACCGTGGACGTGGACGAGGACGCGGCTTTTACGGCGGCGGCTATGGTCGAGGCGGGTACCAACAGTATGGCGGCTACGGAGACCAAGCCCATATGCAACAGCAGTACGGATCGAACATGCACGGCCAGGGATCTGAAGACGGAAGCCGAGCAGCCGGCAACGTGGACGAGTTTGGTCGCGAGCGCAATAACGACCAAGAAGAGACCTCTAACGCAGAAGGGGACAACCACGGAGAGGGTGGTGAGAGTTCCAAACCCGTAAACGAGGGCGGGAATGAGCAGGGCCCTCGTGATGCATCGGAGCATGAGAACACTGAGAACGGATCACACATGGCACAGGAATCCGGTGATTACTCTGCGTATAACGGGAACGGCATGCCTGTAGGTTATGGACCCCCGGGTTTCCCAAACCAGAACCCAGGATTCGCACCTGCAGCACCTGATGTTCCCATAAATGCCCCGACAGGTCCCAAGGCCATGCGCCAGGGCCTGCCGAATACCAGCTTGCACACATTGCGGGCGCGAGGATATGTTATTCCTGACGACAGAGGCCGGCAGGTTTCGGTTGACGGGCCCGCCGTGCAGAGTCCTGCCTTGGAACAGCAGCGGTCGAGAAGCAACTCCTCTACGCGCACCAAAGATAAGGATAGGAACCGCCGTCGGGACGCGAGTCGAGATCGTGAGAGGGAGCCTGACGCCAGGTCAGAGAGGGACTACGCCGGACGAGAACGGGATCACTCACGCTCCCCATCACGCAGCAGAGAGCAGAGCCGAGAGCGCAAGAGCGAGCGCGGCGACCGCCACCGGCGTCGACGCAGACGCTCCGAATCAAGGTCTGTCGACGGTCGGGACGATGAGTATCGTCGCAGGAAGCATAAGAGCAGAAAGCACCCTCACACAATGACGAAGAAGAGGTCAAGTCCCGATCCAGAGACGACGGCTACGAGGAGAGGTCGAGGTCCACTTCGCCCAGCGACTCTAAGAGATCTAGCCACCGGAGCCGCAGAGACCGCGACGAGAAGCGCCGCGACCGGGAGAAGGACAAGTACCGAGATGATGACCACGACGACTACCACAGGAAGTCCAGCCACCGCTCGCACAGAGACAGGGATCGCGACCGCGATCGCGACTATGACCGTGAACGAGACCGCAAGGACCGCGACCGTGAAAAGGACCGGAAGCGCGACAAGCACAGGGATCGGGACCATCGTCACCGCAGCAGTCGCAAGCACTCGGCCGAGCCGCCCACGCCCGTCGAGAAAGACTTCAACCCGCCCACCGGCCCGCGGGGCAGCACGTCGGGCCTCGAAATAAAGGGAGCGAGCTCAAAGCCCGGCCGATCCTCGGACCGGCAAGACGCAGGAAGACGAGGCTCCCAGGCGTCGATCAACAGCAAATCCGCGCCCAGCGTCCCTACCAAGGATGCCCACGCCCTCGAACGTGAGGCCAGGGACCGTGAGCGTCTGCTCAAGGAGACGCAGCGCATGGCTGGCTTGGCTGGCCTGGCGGGTGCAAAGCGCAGCAGAGAAGACGGCGGCGACGACGGCAAGCGCAGCCGGCGCAAGGGGCGCCGCAGCGAGGCCATCAGCGTGGATGACGAAGAGGAGCGGATGCGCAGAATGGAGGCCGAACGCGAGGGACATCGTTGGGGCTAGCAGCCTGGCGGCAGACCCAGGGCTGCCGGCACAGAAGCGAATGAGAATACAGCCGGCAGGTTGGGTCGCCACGTTATTCGTTCCAGCAGATACCGACGAGCGGATAACCGCACCGACCACTTTTAAGCTAGCGACTATACGCTGATTTAGAGGTTGGTGGCGGGCATACCAGGTTGCGTTTAATACCAGCCAAAAGTTATCATTTCCTCCGATGCGGTCTCTTCCCGGGGACTATTGTCTGTATAAGGACAGTGCCATCCATTTTATCCGGCACATTGTCTCCCCATGAGCCGGGGGGAAAAGCCAGCCAGCCAGTGAGGGGCGGAGAGCAGCACTGGCAGCTTGTAGGATCAAGTGGTAGACTTTAACGCTTCAGCAGCCGGCACGGCCCCTTATAGAGTTTTAATTGAACTCTCTGATATGACTTGTGTATTCCAACCTTGATGAAGTTTGCGAGATGTGTCCACCGATGGTACCGGTTCTAGGCTAAACGGGATTCGCACGAGGGTGTGTTCCTCAGCGACACGTCCCTCGAGTGTATCAATGTATCGAGATTCGCAGCCGAGCCGAGAGACTGACTAAGATAGTACCGTCGCGCGGGGGTCATCTATATCGGATTGTCCCTCCGCAGCTCGTGTCGTTGTCACGATACGCCAACTAACCACCATCATGACCGGCAGCTCGGCGGAACACTCAGAGCTTCGGTGCATTCCCCCCCCCATCCGTGGGATTCAGACTTCGCGAGTGGTCCAACCAGCGGTCTGAGAATCATGGTGGCTCTATGCGATGACAGAGGGTCGTCGGCGATTTTGGCGGGCTTTTTTTCTCATTAGTAACATTCACTAGGGCCGACGAGGCGTCGATCCACTACTACCCGACGGCTTACTGGACAAGTCCGTTGACATGTCATCTCAAAGGGGGTATGGGTACGACCTGGGAGATTGACATTGGGGTCACATAGTCGGTCATGAGGAAGCGCCCCCGATTATCGTCAAATTGGAAGCCCCAGAAGCAGCCATGGGGTTTTATCGTCCCCATCGATAAACACGAACCGTTTTCCATATTCCCGTGAGCAACAAACCATCAGAACAGCCTCTGCATCGCGACGAATGTCGAACCAGGCAGCACACTCCTTCACGCTGACAGTGAAGCGCAGCAGCACCGACGATCACCCCTAGCACGGAGTGAATCGGGTTCTACGAGGAAGTCTCGACCTTGTGCGATCCCCCTTGCGTGCTGACATGCAGGGTTGCCGAATAATCAAGCTCATTCAACCTTACCAAGCGAACACACTGCCGAGTGTCCCATTGGCCGGCCGCCTTACGTCGTGTGCCCACGGTCCCTTGTCAATATTGGCGCGCCCAGCTCTTCAACCCCCGGCTGCACGATGCTAGTGTACCTACAGCCCCCATCTTGGAGACGACACCACGTTGGCTTGGTCATTTGTCCGAGTCCCCGGGATGCAAGCACAGAGAGGTCTGGCAGTCGAAGCCAGAGAACACCCACCCCCTCTTCATGAAATTCACGAGATGGCCTGCGAGAGATGGCAAAGCACCAGAAGACGCGATCGAGGTCAAGGTCGAGTTGGGTGCCCCACGCTGCGGCCCGCGTTCTTCGCACTAGCCTGGGAGGGGGCGCTGTTGGTTGTGGCTTGGAATCCAAGGGCCGCGGATGAGGATAGGCCACAAGCGCGGAGGTAGTGAAACCAGCAAGCGCTTGAATCCCACCATGTACCGAAGAGGACACAGGTCGTCGTCCGTCCCTCGTACCGGCAGTGGTGCACTTTGCGAGACAGGCACAGCTCCCCGGGCGAACAGGCTAACGTGGGAAACCGTCCGTCTGGGGCGCCAGGTTATTATACGGCGGGGGAGATCATTGCCCACCAGAGACGACTGCATACCATGCCCACTACTACTTTCTGCCTGGGGGCTCGCTACTGTGCTCTTGATTTCTGCCTGGGCTAGGTATCCCGGCTGAGGCACGAACACCACCCCCGGGGGAGGGATGAGAGAGGCGGCGCCCAAGGTCGTACTGAGCCAATATCTAGGCTCAGCTAGCCAGCCAGCCCTGCTGGTTGGCCCATTGCTTTTGTCTTCTCATACATGTCCGTTTGATCCTTGCGCGATCCTACTGCTGCTGCTGCTGCTGCTGCTTTTCATTCCCGCCGTATCCCATTTCTGTTGCGTGCTGGTCCTTTTTCTTCTGTTCCCCCTCAGTCACTCGCTTACTGGCCTTGTTCGTGATAAAGCAACCGTCCGCGCAGTACCCTAAACCTATCCGGACTATATCTCTTGGCGGGTCAGCCCTATCTTGACCAGACCGGCTTTTGGATCTACGACGACGGAAGACTTATAGTTTGGAAGGAGGGGTAGACCAAGGACACAAAGTGGGCAAGACAGCACCGAAGCACCTGGGCGTACCGCCTCGACCAAAGAGCCAAGATGAAGGAAGGGGAGAAGTATCTCAACATGGCGCACCACCACCAGGACCAGCGCCAACAACAGTATGAATCGGGCCTCGAAGTCGCCGACACCCAGGGCCCATGGCACCGCAACGACATCCCCCTGCCCGAGATGACGCCCTACATCCACGTTGACGCCAAAACCGCGACAACGCCGCAGGTCGCCGACGACCCGGCATCGTGGCACCACTACTACAAGCAGAACCCGGGCCTCGAGGTCGTGTCCTCGCCATCCGTCACCACGCCCGGCGGCTACGGAGGCACCACGGCGGCGGCATACAGCCAAGACTCCGGTTCGGCGTACGGCGCCAACGGACAGCAGCATCCCCCGGGCTACCACCACCCGTCACCGGATGCAAAGTACGCCGATGCGGAGGGGCGGGGGAAGATGTGCGGCGTGCGGCGGAAGCTATGCTACATCATCATGGGCGTCGCGATAGTCCTTGTCGTGGCGGCCATCGCCATCGGCGTCGGGGTGGGCTTGGCAACCAGGCGGCAGTCGGATTCCGACAACTCGTCGTCAGAGTATGTCTCATCGCCCTCTCCTTTTTTCTCTTTCCTTCTCTCTTTTTCCCCCTATCTCCCGTGTCTCTCAACTCCTCATCGCGCCCCACGTTGAACTGCTCCACTGACGCCAACACCTCCCTCCCCAGCAACTCAACAACCCCGGAATCAACAAAAACAGCAAACATCGTCTGCCCCGCCTCGGACAACGCGACGTATTCGGCGCAGGACGCGCCCGCCCGCCACTTCCGCCTCATCTGCGGCCACGACTACAACGCGGACGCGGGCGCCATCGACCTCACCTCGGCCAACGCCACCACCATGGCCGCCTGCATCGACCTCTGCGCCGCAAAGTCCGACTGCGTCGGCGCCGGCTGGGGCGTCTACTACGGCGACCACATCTGCTGGATGAAGAGCCGGCTCGGCGAGATGAACACTTCGGGGAACTGGATCTTCGCCGTGGACGTCAACAAGACGTCGACGACGTCGACATGAGCTTCTTTTTGCATGTTTCTGTCGCGGCCAACGACGTGTGGGGCTGGAACAGAAAGAGGAAACGGGCTGGTGGGGGAGCCATTCCATGATGAAATGCCATGGCGTTCAGGAGGCGCTCTGTTTGGGGCTGGGGAATTCCCCCCTCCCGGCGCTTTCGTAGGTAATGGGACGGAAACGATCTCCCTCGGGATGGGACGGCCAACGAGCATCTCACAATGTGGTGGCCCCGTATGGGAGGGTCAAAAAGACGGGCGAACAACTGTACAGCGCTCTATGCGGCTTCGGGATACGGTTCCGACATGATGGCCAGGGACCTGTACGATACCAATTTCAATTTCATTTTCATTTTCGGGCAAACTTGTGTCATCAAACGTTCAAAGTCTTTTCATTCATTGCTTTTGTCTGCTTGCTAGCCCTCGCTAGCAGCTCTTTGTCACTCGCCAGGCGACAAGACCGCGTCTGCCAACCACCCGTGTCAGGGTGTTCCAAATCCCGTCGTCACCGAAATCAAGATCGTCGAGGTTCAGGTGCTGTCTGTAACGCCACACCTCGCGGAACCGCAGGCCCTTGAGACCCTTGTTGGGGAGATAGGGGTCGATCCATGTCGCCGACGCCGGCGCGATCAGGTACGTGCCGTTCTTCTCCTTGAGATACTCCGAGTTGCGTCGATCGGCGGGCGTGTCGCAGGTCGCAAGCTTGGTGAGCTCCTCGAGGAGCGTGTCGCCCTTCATACCCATCACATCGCGCGTGGTGAGTACCTCGTTCTTGCCGTTCAGCAGCCAGATGGGCGGCGTGTAAGTCTTCCACCAGACGGCTTGCGTCGCATCCGGCTGCTTGCTCAAAAATACCTGGCCCGGCACAATACCCCCTTGGTGGTAGATACCCATCAGGATGCCGAAGAACAGGTTGAAGACGATCCAGGCGCCGATCCATACCCGGAGAAGGGTGCGGCTTCTGGGCATGTGGACCGACGAGAGGATGAGCGGGACGGTCGGCAAAAGGAACCGGGCTTCTTGGTGCTGGAAGATGGACAGCACGAAGACGCCGGAGATGGCCGAGTAGAGTCGAAGTGAGATGTGCGGCTGGGTGAATAGCAGAACCGCCGCCGGGCCAATTAACATGGGGATGTTGACCAGCAAATGCTGGTACCAGGGGTGTAGGCCATGCTGCGCGAGGTTGTTTGTGTCGATGTTGTAGAGGAGGTTGTTCAGTGGCGTGATGACCGGCCGGGTGATGAGGTCTGTCCACTTTATGGGCTCAGGAAGATAGAATGCCGTATCCAAGGCGATGGCGACGAAGGTAGTTGTGAGAGCAGCTAACACCGTGACGGTGAAGGAGATGGGCCTGTCGGGCTGTTAGTGGGCGCGTCCCCGATGTCATGATATCAAAGATGGACCAACCTGTTAAGAAAATGGGGTATCAAGCGAAGTCCCGGAATCAACAAGAATGCCGGGAAAGTAATCCTATTAAACAATCCAAAAACGGCTACCACGCCGAGAATCGAAGAAGCAAGAAGCGATGATTGTTGCTGGCGCAAACATTAGCATACCCCGTCTGTGGGTGCCCACAACGCTCTACCAAGGGGGTCCTTACCGGGCTCTCGACAATGCGCTGGATCAAGACCAAGCACCACGCCACAACCAGGCATTCCACCGAGTTGGAGAACGTGTGGGTTTGGTAAGTCCATGTGACATAGGACGAAGCGACCAAAAGCACAGCAACCCGGCGGTGGCGTGGAGAGCTGATGAGCTCGTGAATAGCCCAGTCCTCCAGGACAAAGCTGGTGACGAACATGAGGACGCGAAGGGTCCAAAAGACGGCGATGGGAGGGATCTCTCCGTCTTTGCCGTTACCAATCCACAGCCATCGCAGCAGCAACATGGGCAGGCCGTATACAGGCCATAATGGAAAGACGCTTCGTATCGGGTGCTCGTTTGTGAATTCCCAGGTGTGTCGAACCGGGTAGCTAAAGATTTGGCCTGCGCCACGCCGTCAGCCCAGATCCTCGATGGCGAACATGAGCCCAAACTCACTCCGAGCTCGGTGTAAGCTCGGGGGAAGCTCCCTGGCGCAGAACGGAGAGCTGCATCCGTTGGCCACGCGAAGGGCACAGCATGCAGCAGGTGGGAAATCGAATCAGACATACCTGCGATAACCTCTGGACCTTGGAAGTTCTCGTCGGGGTGGAGGTAGCTGGGTGACAGCGCGAACCACAGCCGAATCAACACCAGGAACAGGTACGTTCTCCGCCACATGGCTCGCAGTGTTATTGATTAAAATGCGGTCGTCGTGAGTGCTGCGCGCAGCTTGAGCATCGGTCCGCGATCGAGGGCAGATGAGTTGCGATTCGGTCGTTCTTAGTCGGGGCAAGGGCGGCGCGAGGTTCG